TCTGTGTTTGTTTAATTTAGGGAGCAGTACAATTCATTATGTAAAGTTGACGGCAAAAAAGTTAAGCGTCACTTATTCTGTGTTCATTGAGGGAGCAGAACAATTTATTCAGTAGAGCGTTGACGGTAAAAAAGTCGAACGTCACTTATTCTGTGTTTATCTAATTGAAGGAGCAGGGCAATTCATTCTGTAAAGGGTTTACGATGAAAAAAGTCGAACGTCACTTATTTTGAGTTTTTAATTAAGAGAGCAGGACAATTAATGCTGTAAAGAAACAAAGTACTTTCTAGAGAGAGTGCTGTATGTTGTTTCGTTTTAAAATTTGTTAAAAATTGATAGTTTCTCAACAATTGTATAAAGAATTAATTTGGATACATTGAACTGGTTTTAATCTCACAAAAATGCGAAGATACTGTTAAACCTTTTTCTAAACGTTTTTATTAGCTCGCTTTCTTGTCCGGTACAAATTTTGCAATCGATTTTATACTAAGTTCCCGATGAGCCAGAGACTTGAAACTTGAAACATAGCTCACAAATGGATGACAATGCAATATTATACCATTTAATTTTCATATTTCCCTTGGGCTACGCCCCATGGGCTTGGTTTTATTAACTCGTTCTCTTGCAAATTTTGATACTTACCGATGAGCTAGAGACTTGAAACTTGAAACATAGCTCACAAATGGATGACAATGCAATATTATATCATTGAATTTTCATATTTCCCACGGGATACGCCCCATGGGCTTCCACATTTTCCATGTTTACATTTCGAAAGAATGTAAACATATCAATTAATTTAAGTCAGCTGTAAATACTTAAATTTGACAGTTCGAAGAGCAGAGGTTAAGAGGTACAGGTTCTGCTCCAGATATATTCTAAAAATATAAAACAAGCATTTTAAATTAAAGATAAAACATATGATTAGAGATAATAAGGTTTTGGTTTGTTGTATTAATAGTCAAAGGTTATATAACAGGCCATAGGAGTTGCGTTAACAAAAAACGGCTTCACGTATTATATATATAGATATTTAACATATTTAGACATTAAAGACTAAAAAGTTGAAAATAATTTATAAATAAAAAACTTTTTTAAAACAAAACGTTTTTAAACGCACTGAAAAGTAGAAAATAATTTATAAATATGTTGAGAGTATAAATACTTGTAAGATTTAAGACAAAAAACGTTGGGTGCATGCAATTAATTGATAATAATACATTAGTTCAATAGGTAAAGGTAATTGTAAATTATCTATTGCATGCACCCCACGTTTTTCGTTAAATCTTACAAGTATTTATACTCTCAACATATTTATAAACTATTTTCTACTTTTTAGTGCGTTTAAAAACGTTTTGTTTTAAAAAAAGTTTTTTATTTATAAATTATTGGTTGATTTGTTAACTTTAAAAATTTATATTAACTAGATCATATGTTTTAACTTTTTATCAGCATCCACCATTGGCTTAACGTTTTTTAATAACAAAATTTCTATAAATTTAGTAAGTATAAATGTACTGTTGATTAAGGTTTATTTTTTGACATGTGAATGAAATATTAACCAGTCGATTTAATTAAACGCTAGTTCGTATGATTGATTCCGCCATAGGAAAGTCAAACAATATTTGATTCTTTGGCTAAGATTTTACTAATGAATCCGATGAACGTTATTGGTTCCAAGAATCTTCTTACCTTTCAGTATACATACGTAAACGTTTACTCAAATATTTTATCGGAATCTGGACTTAATAAACTGCACAAATACAGTAGTTCAATCTTGTCATTCCAACTGATAGCAAATGGGGTGCATCACCAAAATTCCCCAAACCTATGTTTCTGAAAGTCACCGAGTAAAAAAAAAGGTACAACGGTACATAGTTGGCAAAACTGCCGGGTACTAGAAGTACTTTATGACGAACTTAAAATCAAAAGTATCACAATTAAAATAGTTTACGTGACGACAACACGATAAAAATAATAGTACAAAAAACAATATAGATGTGTGTGTGATTTGAAAGCTTACTCCCTTGCTAAGTGCCAGGACAGCACGGTGGTGCTACCTACCAGAGTTTTATCAAACTACTGCCACAATGTCAAGTAACAGACCTCTATTTCCCGCATGAATTTGAAAGTTCAATGAAAAAAGGAAAAATGCCAGGAAGCAGTTTACTGTTTGTACTGGATTTCACATAGGGAATATTAGCGAATTTCCTATATAGGGAATAAGCTATTACCGTAGGTTTCGAACAAGAGATTTCTGAACTTGAACATGACTTGCTCACTCTCCCTACTCGTCTTGGAGGCTTGAATATTCAGGACCCGACCAAGAACGATGGGTATTTCATTTGAAACATCAAAACAGTACAGAAAAATTAATATTAGCCATTAAAATGGATAACCATTAAAGATTAATGATCATGTATCAACTCTATAATCTGTAGGCAAAATAGAAAACTAGAAAAAGACACTTTGGCTAAAGCAAATAATGAATGAATTATGCAATTACTTCCTGAAACTCAAAAGAAGCCAACAATTAAAATTCTAGCAGGGAATACTAGCCAATGGTTAACTGTGACACCATGTGCATCTGATCATTTGGATTTGTCCCCGGATCAATTCGGAGATGCTTTGTCAATTCGCTATGGCCGCACACTAAATTTACCACTAAGAAATTTACCAGCACCATGTGATGGTTGTGATCTACCTATGCATCTTACCCATGCTTTAAATTGTAAAAAAAGTAGGATTGATCAATCATGGGCATGATCAACATCGAGACCACTATGCTGCGATAGCAAATATCACCTATACTGAGTGCATGGCAACGCTGGTGGCGCTGCCAACGAATTGGCACTCATTGGCAGGCAAAGCTCTCTCAAAACACTTATACATTTTACCTTGCGGTTGGCATTCTGGGTTATAGTAGTATGTTTTCTGTGGCTTATCCCGCAAACAACTTAAAAGTTAATGGTATTCGGGAGGCTGAGAGGGATTTTGATACAGTAATTGCATTGTTAATGCTGATGCTCCCTCTTACGCCAACCAAGAATGGGGAACAGTATCTCGAACCATGCCGTTCAGAAGCACAATAAATATGATAAAGCAGCCGAAGACATCAGAGGAAGCTTCACACCATTAATATGTTCCACGGAAGGAGTCCCCCACAAAAAATATGAAGCGTTTCAGAGGAGAACAAGCGAGGCCCTGGCTGTAAAATGGAGAAAATCATACTCCCAAATTATTGGATGGTTAAGGATAAATAAAGCCAGCTTTCCATCGTTCGAGCAGTTTCGCTTAGGCTTCGAGGAACAAGACATAAAATTCGAAGCATTCAGTTTGAAGATGGTGCCGCAATTCCCCCATTGCTCTATTGAGCCTTTATTTTATTATTTTATATAATTTGTCTTACCAATATTAATTGATGTGTATTAGGGAATTATCAATAAAAAATGTTGGTGTGTTTTATAAGTCATAAATCATTTATTTTACCAGATTTACATAAGTTACATGCATTGGTTACGTCAATTACAGTAATACTTAAAATATATACCAAATTCCTTATCCTATACATGCCATAAGCTATTTACATTTTTGGTTTACATTTAACATTTTGTTTGGAAATTCACCCGTTATGCCCATGACTGTCAGCAATAAACTAACGGACACGGTAGTAGCATTTAGATATTAGTAATTTCCGGAGATTTTTTTTTTTAATGACAGGGTCTGTCTCAACATTTTTGATTATTCGGCAAAGCATTGAAGAGCAGGATTCCGTTATAATATTGATGTTTCTTTAAAAAGTTGTAGAATGCTTAGGTATCTGGAGATTAAGGCTGTTTCGCAGAGAATATGGGCAAGATCTGGGGGTTGCAAAGATAGATAAAAAAAAGAGTGTTTCAAGAATGTACAAGCGAGGAAAAGTTAAATTACGTGAATACAAAAATAAATTTTTACAAGAAGTTCTTGGACTTGGACTGTTTCTAAAGATAGTTCAAATATTGCTCTCTTTTGGAGTTGAAATAAAAATCTAGTTCTATAATTCTCGCATCCCCATGTCGGTACTGTGTAGACAAAATGGATGGAAGATGACACCATAATAGGCTGTCAGAAGGACATTCTGATCGGAGAAATGTGATAGTCGCCTTAAAAGGAAGATGCCAGACCCCACTCTCATGCATAGCCTATACATTGTCGACATCATAATGAAATTTGAGGTTTTTGTCTAATATTAGACATAGGATGCAGCACGGCCGCGGCCTTCGAAGTGGCAACGTTGCAAGTGGTGTTGTAACAGCTGTTTTGTTTGGAAGCAGCTAATGGTATTTGTGTATTTACGAAAGATTGGTTACTGAACTATGACAATATTGACTCCAGATACATATTTTTAATTCATATTGTTTTGGTTTTCAATTCTGTATGTTTTATTTTCAATATTTTAATACATTTATGTTCATAATTTTAGATTTGAATCAATAAAGTATGAATCAATGAGCTGATGTCACATGTCTACCATGTTTATCTTATGGGACGTCTGTCACAACTAAACAACACCACTTGCAACGTTACCAATTCTACCAGGCCGCGGTCTGTAGTTAAAGGTGGCCGTGGCTACTGACGTATCATCCGCAAAAAGGTAGACCAACCCAGCCACAACACTTGAAGGCAGTTCATTTACATAAATCAAGAACAGTTCATCCAAGGATGTACAGATCCTTAGATCTTTGGAAAAAATAGATTGTAAATTAATTGAGCTTTTACACCGTAAATATATAGATATTATACTTAATCAAATGCGTAATATACTAAAACCAATGCCAGGCTTTGATGAAAGGAATTACAGTTTCCTACTCGGAAAAAGAGGGATGTTCAGTCAGCTGTTTCTTATTTTTGAGACACATTTTCATTTTATGTGTCGTCTGCTCTGCATTCTGCTATCTTGGCAACGCTGCTCGCTGCTGAGCGCTGCTATCTGCAATTATTGCAAATGTCCACTAGTCAGTCAGTAATGTCACTTCTCATTCATCTCAATTCAAATAAATAAAACCTATGGAGTTAAAATTAAATCAAAGTTAACTAAACAATTTACTATGTAAATCACTCTGTTGAATTTTCAGTTACTAGCGAAAAGAGTAATGTTTGTACTTCTACAGGCACCTCTGTTTTGTTGTGTACCTTCAATACTAGGTTAGGGTTAGTCTCAATTATTGTAAAAGAGAAAGTCACATTGCTTTCTCTTATTATTCCAATCACTGCATTTAGCTCTCAGTTTCTCAGTCTTAGACGTTACTTCAATTCTCTAGTTCATGTGAGTAAAATATTCTTTTACTAAACTTAAGCTTATTTGATTATGCTTTTAGAGTTTTGGAATAACTTAGGACTGAGTTTCATAAAACAACCATAAAATTATTGAATATCTTTTCTGTTTAATAGGCCTAACAATTGATAAAAAAATTAGGCTAGTTGAGTGTACTCATAAGTTATTGGCTACTTAACTTAGATTTTCACATTTCACCAAACTATTTATCACCAGTTAAGTTATATTTTATTAAAAGCCTAGTTTATTAGGCAAGTTAAATCTCAAGTCATCGCTTACAAAAGACACAAATGATAATAGGCCCTAATTATTAATTCCCTTTGTGATCTATCTAGCCTAAGTAAAACCCTAAAAAAACTACGGTAGCCTACTAATCCAAACAATTTCCAGTAGGAAAATATATTATAGTATAGGCCTATACTTTTTTATAATTAAGAACCAAGGGCATGAGGTAACAAGCTAGCCATCAGTCTGTTAGCATTAAGAGCCTTATGCGCGACTGCTCCGTCGCTAGGGTAGCCACAAGGTGTGGTGAGGTCGCATTTTACAGACTTGCATGTTGTTACTTCCTCAGTGTGAATGTGTAGATTTTGTCAAGTTCGAAGAAGATGGAACAACTTCTTATAATTTTATTTTTAAGTGTCATAAACGTAGGCCAAACAAAAGTATTGTAGTCCATCCGTTGCCAATTAAGTAAGACCTTAAAAAAAAGTTATTTTTTACACTTTTATGATTATCACAGAGAGGATGACAAGAAGTGTATAAGTAGTTTAGGATATTTCCGGATGTCAATACGTTATTTTGATGATTTTTGAGAAAAAATAGAAGGTGTCTTACTTATCCATATCCCAGAAGAATGTAAATAATTTTATTTCAGGCAAGAAGAAGCTAGCTTTTACCTTAAAGTAGATGGCAATAGTTTTGACATAACTTAAATATAAGTTAGGCCTTTTCAGAATTACATAATTAAATATTTGTTTGACACAATATTCATGCATGAGGCGAGGGTAGGGAGTAGTGAGTGTGCAATGGCCCGCAACTGTGGCTGATGTGTAATAAGCAGCATATTAATTAGAACATGGCCCGCTGGTGGCTTAGACAGTTGCTCGGGCTCCCCACCGGTACTGAGGGTCCACAAGTACCTTTGAGCAGTCTCGGTCCACTAGAGTGGCCGCATATAATAAAGCTCTAAGTCATGAGTGGTAATGGTAGGGCCCTCTCTGGAGGTGTGACCTGCCGAGGCCTAGGAGCTTTAACATTAATGTTTATCCTCCTAGGATGGGGGCCACATTGGTTCTAAATACGGCCCTTTTATATTATATATTGATAATTACGTCTGACATTAACTCATGATATTTATTATCTTTCAGGAAATATTCTAATTTACAGTAGGCCCTTATGGAGTTTAACTTGCTGAAGATTTGTTTTACATTGATGACACTGTTTATTGTTGTCATTGGTGGATTGATAAACAACTTTGAGAAGTGCTTGCCTGCTTTCTTCGCGCAAACATTTCGCTATGGAAAATTTGCTTATAAAGGAAAACCATCATCTATAGTTGTCTTGGAAGTTCCAAAAAGGTAAGACAATAACATATACTAGAAATTGTTCAGTGGTCGATAACTCGACCAAAAATGTAGGCCTACAGACTTCTCTATCACCCCACGCTGTAAATAAAACATGTGATTGGAATTTCTTCAATTTCTTTTGTTAGCGAATTTCCCATATAGGGAGTAAGCTATTACCGTAGTACTCATAGTAAGACCTGGACCCGAGACCGATTTAATTTTTCATTTTGAGGTCCCTAGAGGCCAAAAACACCATCCGTTCAAATTCATATATATATATATATATATATATATATATTTATTTATATATATATTTATATATAGACCTATATTTATATATATATATATATATGTGTACGTTAGCGCGATAACTCGAGCAAAAATGATCCGATTTTGATGAAATTTGGTACAAACGTGTAAACCTATGTTTATTCGAACGAGTTCGCGATCCAGCATAATCGGACCATGGGAACGGGGGTTTATGGGGGGTTTTATGGGGTAAAAATGGGTTTTTCCCATTTTTGATCCTAAAAACAAAAAAATTTGCGATTTCTTTCTAAACCGTTTTGTAGAGCTTAAAAAAAGAAATAATTTAGTATATTGAAGCGCTGTTGTATGCCTAATGGTCACGGAGAAAATTCAAAAATAGTGTAATTAAAAATTCCCATGTTATTCTTATGGAGAAGATGAAAATTGTTGTAGTTTACTTGTTTAGGGGTATATATTGATAAAATTTGGCAAATTTATTTATTTCATCCTATACTATTGACGTATGGTCAAAAACACTTTTTACCTTCCCCGTAGCAGCAAACCTAAGCACTCTTTAAATCTAATGTTATTTAAATAGGGAATAATATGTCTTATTTATGGAAATATTTTAGTAAAAATTTAATCAGACGAGTTGAAATTCGCTTAGTCTGCAGGTTTGCTGCGGCGGGGGTATTTTAATTTTCTGTTTTTATTTCGTCACCAGCATGGCAACCCATAAGGCACATGTCTATTTTTAAAATATTTTAAATTAATTTGTTGTGCTTATTTTGAGCCCATATTAATTTATAAAGGGATTCTGCTCATCTACAGGAAAATATCTTTCTAACAGTATGCGTAGATTTGCCCTACAATATTACAATCTGAGAAAAAATGATTTCAAGAAATATGCTTGCCTATAAAAATATAGGATATTTGATTATACGAATCGTTAATCTGGCTTAATAAAGGACTTTGAATTTGACTTTTTACTTTAAAAAGCGTACTATTTAGTTAATCAGAACCCTGCAATTTACTTTATGTTCCAGTGACTGTCATTAGCAAAAGTGCAAGCCCCTTTTTGAATGATTACTAATGCATTTTTGAACTGTCCGTGAAGGTGGTTTAAACACTTCTATGTGTTTGCTGGTATTTGGTCTCCTCTCTGCTTGGGACTTGCTGCACACATCTATTTCCTTGGAGGGAATGTCCCACAAATCGTTACCTATGGGTTGGATCTGCTCGGAACTTCTCATCGCAAAGCCAGCGGTAAGAATGAAGTAAAAGCTTAGAGTAGTAGAATGTATTTGTGAAATCATTTGGATGTGTATAGTCGTTTGAAAGATATAGGTAGGTTAAGGTATATAAACCTACCTAAGGTATATATCTAAAAACTTTTTAACTTATTTTAATAGGAGTAACTTTTCCTTTTCACTATTCAAAACATATTGGATAGCACATTTAGTGAGATAAATTTATTTACCTACGACCGTTTTTTAAAGTAGCCGTTACAGTTCAGTTCTTAGAATTGAGATTCAAACAACAGCATCGTTGTTTTGCTTAACAACACGGGCAATGGACCAATGAGGGTCAAGGATTGAGAGAGAAGAAGTAAAATTATTCTTCAAACGTGAACTAATCACATGTTTGGATCAAATTTGATTGTTATTGAGTGGTGCTTTAGTTTTTGGTACAATTAAGGCCTGGTCTGGCCAGGGTGGCGATTGCCAAGGGCCTCCGCCCCAAGGGGGTCTCCAAAAGCCAATAAAATCAAGTGAACATAATTTGTTTTACTATGAAATTTTTTTGTTTTACTGTTTCGCAGCAACGTAATCTTGCCAAAATTTTTTAAATAAACAATAACCTATTTTTATTGAATTACAGTTAAGGGTAGCCCCTAGGTACAGTTATAGTCACTCGGTACTCGAGGATAGTCACCGATCTCACCGCGCCGCACCATTCGGCTCAGCTGTAGTGACGTGACAGCGCTGTCTGGACTCAAGCAGACATTTAGCTCTTGTACTATCTACTAGTGAGGAGCCCATTTGCCACGACGAGGCTGATAGAAAATAAGTTACCATAAGTTGAAAGAAGTATAGTATATTATTAATAGAACTTAAAAAATGTTTAATTCTTGTGGTTTTTGCAATGACAGTAAAAAATGTTTCAAGTGTTTGCCATGGGCCTTCTCAATTCTTTTTTAACTCTCTGGATCGGGATTGTTCAATCCTCTTGGTACAATGATTCGTTGCATCACTGTAAGTGGCAATGAGAGGTAAAAAAAAAAAACATAATATCTTTTAAAGTCTACGACAAGCTTTCTCCGGACCACTGGGGAGGGTCGGGTCTGTTAATCCGTCTATTGTCCACCCCCGAGGTGGCTCGACCCTTATTATTGCCGCTCAGCCATATTCAGTGGGGAACCCAATACCATAAATTATTTTTTTTTAATTTTAGATTTACCTTGAAATTTCCATAGATTTGATGTAAAATTTGTCGTAAATCGGCCAATTTCACTGACCATTTATTTAATTACCAATGTACTTTACTAAATTTACGTCTAACTTTAGGCCTACATAAAAATTTATTGAAATTTAAAGGCGAATCTCAATAAAACAATTAATTTTATTAATAAAAAAAAAAAAATTATGGTATTGGGTTTCCCATTGAGTGACGCTGAGCGGCAATAATGAGGGTCGAGCCGCCTCGGGGGTGGACAATAGATGGATTAACAGACCCGACCCTCGCCAGTGACGGAGATAGCTTGTCTTAGACTATAAATGGTATGAGTAGTGATTGTTAGCAATTTAAAAACTGTTGTAGGCAAAGTAGTGTATAAATCTCACGTAAATATTCTTAACGACATTCGTAGAAGTTTTTAAAATACTTGTCAAGGATCGTACCTTAAATTTTCTATTCTAGATTGTTGTTTACACTATCTTTACGGGATTGTTGCGTAAACTACTATTATAGAATAAGAAATCAGTGTTTTTATCATTGTTATTTTACGAAATTTCTTTTCCTGCCTCTGTTTTTTTTAGTGGGTTTTATTTCTTCGGCCTGGTGTAAGATTAAACTTGGAATTGGCTGTTTTACCTATTTAAGATAGTTAACAATCAGCCATTGTCGTTTTGTATAGAAACTAATCTAAAGGCATGTTTTCAACCGATGGAATCCTAGAGATTTTGTTGTAATTTAGTTAAGAATCTATATAATTAATATGCTACATGAAACTTTGTCGGTTAAACTCCTCCACCATTTCTTAACCGATTTTATCCATTGACGTCTCATTGGAAAGAGCGTGTCACGTAGATTTGCTATTGCATGGCAACGCTGGTGGCGCTGCCTACGGATTGACAGGCAAAGCTCTCTCAAACCGCTTAATGCTTTTTACCATGCGGTTGGCATTCTGGGTATAGTAGTACGTTTTCTGTGTCCTTATGAAGAACATAATTGTTTACATTTTGATCAGCTGTATAATTTAATTGCTGTTATTTATTTGTCAATTCAATGAAACGCATTGAGTACATTTATTTACTATTTGAGTTTTTGTGTAAACATAGCCCCCATGACGGATCGTGTTAGCATGATTGTAACTTAAATTTGCGCATTTATTGTTGTTCTGTGTGGCTATAATTTGTTTATTTGTAGATTTTTTCTTTTAAATGCCTCCGAGCCGACGACAACGAAACATAAGGAGGCGTAATCGTAATAACGACCGCATCTACAGAACAGTGGCGCGTAATAGGCTCAACTCATCACAGTCACCCAGACAGCACACTTTCTCCTCAGGACATCCCACGGATATTGCGACAGGATATGCAAGAAATCCCATAGTAGTCCTATGGTCAACTTGGGATATCCCAGGATATCCGCAGGAATGCGTAATGTCCCCGCCCGGGGATGTCCTATGGATAAGCTCACAGCATATCCGTGGGACATCCGAGGTCATCCCAGGGTAGTCCTCAGGACATTCTCAGGACATATGGGACTACTATGGGATGTCCCTGGGATAAAGTGTGGTCTGGGCCTGAACATAAAAAACACAAAATAATATAGATTTAGTATGAAAAGTTTAATTATCAGTTGAGTAAATTGATTAAATAGTTAATAAACACAAATTTTGAAGAAAAAAACTAGAAAAAAGTTTTTGGCCCAGACGGGTCTCGAACCTGGTACCTTCGCATTATGAGCCTCATACCTTACCTCCGGAGCTATCCGCGCTTGATGATTATGAGTGTTTTCAAGTGGTCAAAGAGTAGCCGACAGTTGCAATGGTCGCAATACTTAAAATATTTTTGATACTACAGTATATAATATGATTCTGTTAATCTGTTTAGGCCTCAAGTAGTTGAATTGTTTTTCTGGTAGTTGGAGAGGATACTGGTATTTGAATATAGATTATTTAATTACCATCAGATTAGCACTGTTATAATTGATTGTTTTATGATTAAAATTAGTTTTAGATTATTTTATTAATTTAAAGTTAGAATTAAATACACGTTTCACACAACTATGATAGAACTCTAGTTAGAATAAAACAAATACAGCACTCTTAAATTATCTTACCAAAATTGGCCAAGAATGATTCCTAAGGTAAGCGGAATGGTCAGACAACACAAAAAATGTAATGCAATTCAAAATTTTAAAGTAAAAAAAGCCAATATATTATAATTTTTTTATTTAACTTTTTTACATTCAAACAAAAGAAATAATATAGACCATTATAATGTTAAATAATTGATATTGATATTGTAACACCGTAAACATTACGTATGATTTTAACATTGAAAACCATACAGATACAGGTAATGCCTTTAGTAATGAAATATACAAAATGGTTTCAGAAACATTCCTAGAGGTGAAACAATTTTTAATTGAAATTTCCATTCCGGTTTGACATTGCCTTGTAGAACTTGTAGTCAATAACAAGAATTTAAGATGCTTTTGTAATTATTGTGCTTACAAAACATTACCTCTTTTTTGACAATGTTATTACTTTGTGACCCTTGGACAACTTTTGTGACAAGTTAGGCAATTTTACTAATGTCTGTAGTCCAAATCAACAAGGTACTATTTTAATTGAAACGCTTAGTTGACATGTCAAAACATCCAACTAAACATATACATAAAACAAAACTCAACATTTTTATTTATTTTCCGTGTTTGTGTAAATATGATGACCTCCAAGCGACCGACTATGACAAGATACTTCTCGACTTGCTAACTACGTGACCATGACGCAACTAGCGTCGAAACCATGGTTGTAGATATTACAACTTTTTATTAAAACTGGGACGAAAGTAAAGGTAACTTAACCACTATTATTTTATAGTTATGTCTGTGTTCTGTATGTATTTAATTTAATGTTTTGACTTGCTGCAAGCTAATTTGTTACCCCTTTTCTTGCAGTGAGTGCAACATCAGTATTTATTGCTCTTGCTCTACTCACCTTGCAGTCTTGGAGACGGTTGTACGAGACGTTTTTCGTCAGCATATTCTCCGATTCTAACATCAACTTGGCCCACTACATTATTGGGTTCTTGCATTATTTTGGTGCAATGGCGGCAGTGTTGGTTGAAGCCCCTGGCCTCACTCCTATTTCAATAGGTAAATATTACTTAAAGCAAAAAATTACAATATTTATAGTTTAGTATTCTTTTGCTTTGTCCCATCTTCATAACCTTGGACACTAGGCTCTAGACTGGAACGGTTTTCAAATTGCTTTAACCCTAGAGTGGCCGATCGTCGTCTGGTGACGATCTGACGTTGATGCTTAGAATGGCCAAAGTCGTCTGGTGACGATGTGGGCTGACATTTTTTTAGCGGTAAAAAAAACACGTATAATCAACTCAGATGAGAATAATATATATACCATTCGAAAGATCACATTCTGAACTTTCATTTTATTACATAAACAAACCCTGTAGGTATATAACAATGTCACTACGATTAGAAATCAAATGAATTTTTGGCGCGGCACGACTTTTGCAGCCGACACTTGGGAACTGGCAAAACACGTCTTGTTTGGCATTACCCTGCTCGGGTAATTTTCGTCGTGGGATGTTGCGGGTGGTACCACTGAATAGCCATTGATTTTATCTTCATTGTGGTAGTAATATTTAGAACGAAATATTGATTGCACAACCGGTACGATTTTATGAAAACAGCTGTTTTTGAAATTTTTAACAAATGGCCAATGGTCTTTAGGTGACGATGTGGAAAATACGAATTACATACAGTGTAATTTATTATTACTAGTCATATAGTATGTCATTTTGAAGAGGAAGAAAAAAATATAGATTCAGAGAGTGGCAGCCCTGCACTCAGGGTTATTTCTGTATGCTCGCATGTAGACGACGGAAGTGAGTCATTACTGCTACAGTCTGTCAGCTGTCTTGTATTCGCCATTGTTTGTTTGTGTTGTTGCCGGTAATAGTATTCGTTCTCGTATTATCCGCGATTTATTACTAAATACGTTATTAGTTCGTAGTGTTAGTGTTAGTGAAGTTTGTGTGTGTGTATAAAAGTAATCTTTATGCATAAATATTACTGAATTGTGTGAAATAGTGTTCATAAAAGGTTGTATTTTGTTAGCATCATGTCCAAAAATGACGATTCTGACATTCAGAGGTGCTATATATTATGTTATGCTATATAATGATTTACCCAAGGTGTTATACATTTTTATAAAGGTAAATGAATACACTACAACATGTTTATATTGGTTTGGGTATAAGAAATTTGGTAAAAAAATTATATAGGCTACTAAATACTGTACACTCCATTTTCTCGAAATGCGCAAAAACTTCAAAACGTTCTCAAATTGATACATAATCATAGGTGAAAATAACTTTTTACCATCATACTTATGACTTTTTTGGATTCCTTACTTCATTAGCTTTACAAATATGTAGGCTACATATCATCAGCCTGCATAATGTTTCACAACACAAACAAACACTGTAGGCTATAGTTTACACTTATTTGCGGTTTTGCGGTTATTGTATTATTATGTCCCTATTACTTACCTACAAAAAAAATATTTCTAACATACACATTAATATACATTTTCATGTAAGTAATTTAATAGGTACACTACAAGATTATTATGTTGGTTTGAAGTAAAAAAAATTTGGTACAAAAGTTGTATACTAAATACTGTGAATTTTTTTCTCGAGAAATCGCTAAAATATAAAAACATTATTTTATATACGTATGTTTATAGGTAAAATATTATTTTTACCATAAACTTTATGACTTTTTTTGATTCCTTACTTCATTAGCTTTACAAACATGTATATATCATTTTTAGTATACACATATATTATAGAACTTTTTACAACATAAACTAACACTGTACGGTTTTCAAATTTTTCGGTTCTCCGTTTGTCATTATATTTCGCAATATATTTTCCTAACATGTTATATATTTCTATGTAGGGAATTAGATTGTCTGCAAAATGTATATAATGAATTTCCCATAAAAAATCCGTAGAAAAAAAAATACCGAGGCCGCAAAATTTCAAAAAAAAAATTCAAATCTTTTTATTCTTTTCACTTTACCGATAAAATACACTGTCTAAATCATTATGATATTACTATTTCTAGATTCTCCTGTTCTTTCCGAACAAAATGAATATGAAGTTGGCAAGGTTTACTTGTACGGTTGAATTTTTAAAAATTTTCAAAAAAGGTCTGCAAAATCGCCAAAATGGGTTGGCCTTTCCCCACTTCTAGCATTGGCCACTGCTACGGTTAAGCTACGCCTAGAGGGTTATGACATAATTATTTGGATAATATCCATTGATGATTGGCAAGATTTGAACTTGGGACCTCTACCTGAAGTCTTGTGCTCTACCAGTAGGCCAGCCTTAAATATTCATTGTAAAATAAATAATAAATGAACCTAAATGGTAAAACCGATTACAGTAGACTCCTTCTAGTTCGGCTTCGGTTGGATCGGCCGCCGGATGGTCCGGCCTGGTCTCCAGGGGGACAAGTCATATCGTCGTGGGCGAATGACCTTCGACAGGATTCAACTTGAATGTTTAGTTTCCGGCCATAGAAGTAAACAATTCATGTCAGTTTAGTTGAAGGCAGTGGTGGTTCCAGAGAGGGGGCCATAGGGGCCATGGCCCCCCCCGAGAATCAGGTTTTTTTTATTTTTTTTCAAGCTTTATAATTTGAAAAATTGACTTAAAAATTGCCGCGCACATCCCCGTTTTCCACCATCCTATGCCTTCCTCATGTCAGTGCGTCAGTCATACAGTACATATACTACTACCCACTATAAAAAAAAATGCGACTCAGTAGTCAGTTGAGTATTTGTTTTGTTACGGTTTTTTTTTTAGTAACACACTGTCGTTTCTACAGAGTGTTCACTCACGTAGACATGTGCGTTCGAGTGTATACAGAATCAACGTCGCAGTGTCGCACGCTCACCCGCCTGGCTAGGAAATGTAGTACAGATACCATCTATCTATAATATTAAAACGAAACAGTGTTTTTTTATTTCACGATTCTGAATCGACCACTCGACGGATTTTCATGATTTTTGTGTTGAAAGAAAGATAATTTTGAGAACTAGGGAATGTCGAAGCCATTATTTTAGTTTAGGGTCCCAGTTTTTTAGAAATTAAGTTTTAATTTTTAAAAAGTCTAGCAGCCGACGCTAAGATTCTAAACTAGCTTTTGGCATAAAATAATTTGCTTAACATAACAGCTGTAAACATTCAGCTTTTGTGCCACAAATTCAGCATTTGGATAAAAATGTAAAGACATACTTAGGGTTGACTATTTATACTATGTGTAATGCTAATCATTGATACGTTCAATTTGTCTGTAAGAGGATGACAGATTAATTAAATATAAGTAGTAAAATACTAGGATGTTCAAATTTTTTTTTAAAGCAATCTTTGTAATCTTCGATTTGTTTTAGAGAAATATAATTTGTTTTAACTAACAGCTGGTTAAATATAAACTATGGAACTATGAGGTTATTTTATTTACTCTTATTTTGTCATTGATTATAGGAAATAAGTAAGATTAGTAGAGATAATTAGACCTCAGTTTAAACCACAGTTTTAACCACAATTCATTAAACCACAGTACAAATCGAGGCTCTGTACACGAGTCTTAATAAAAAAGGATAAATGCAAATTATTTTACTGCTCCACTTTTCAAGGAAAGATTAGAAAAATAACAATGTTTACATGTCTTTTAATTCTTAATGGTAGCTTTTTGTTTACAATTAATGTTTGTCTGCTTTAACTTTGTATAATAACTTTGTATATTAGGCCCGGAAATATTGATGTCATAAAAAGAAGATCAAGAATAATCAGGAATCACGATTTTAAAGTACCACCACAACCTCAGCCGGGTTTTATACAAAGATAAACAGATGGATGACATAGATTGAACACAACGTCGAAACATTGATCTAGGATACTGCAATTAATTAGTAAACCATCCTTTTATGAAATCGTGTTCAGTTTTGGTTACGTTTAGGGGCGCCTATATCAGCGCCCCCAAACGTGAAAATATCACTTTTATTTCAACTATGAATATATTGTAGTTTAAATTAACTAATATGGGAAATTACGATGTACGTTTATTCAATGAGGGTGGGTAATTATCAAGGATAGAACTGATAACGGTATGGATAATAAACATTGACAATTACGTCTTTAGCTTTACTAGCGTGTTTACTTTTTATATTCCTGCTACATGTGACCAGTTCTTTTTTCAAATGACTGTTATTTGAACCAAACAGCTGTTTCAAAACAAACTGTTATTGTTTTTACTTTTCTGTGTTTACACTTATTTAGTTAGCAATTAATGCAATGAAATTGATATAAAGGATAGGTGTGACGATTACTTTTGATGTTAGGACACCAATTATGTGTACTGTGAATTTTATTGGATATTATCGTTTTATTTTAGGTCGTTTCAATTCAGACTTACTGGAAATTGTGTATAGTAGTTATATTTTGGTGATAATAATTATGGAAGAGGCAGGTATGCTATGGAAGGTGGTATCGTTGACTAGGTCTATACACTTCTCAATTGACTATTACTCTCTCTACCGTAGGCTACTTATAATCAGTGTGCGTCTGTGCGAATCGGCTTCAAATCTCACTTCAACGCTTTTCACATCGTAAAAATTGCAGAATTGCTGTTTTATTGTAAAATTATCGGATTTAAAAAGCATATTGTATAGGCCTATGATGGAATAAAAAAATATTTGGTCACACAACATTTGTTTACAAGATGATTTTTCACATTAAACTGCAAGAAACTTTGCCTTTATTTGTGTAAACTAGCTGATCTGAATTGTACACTGTTTAAACTGACTACTGAATTCCCGTACGTAGGACGGGCTAACACCTCGTTTATGTTATAACTTAATATGGAGTACGCTTAATCTAATACTCCCCTGGATACTGTCGCGCTGTGTGGTGGAAAAACGGGCTGTGCCCACCATTCAAAATGGTGGGATACTGAGGCCGGCGCCACCGGCGGGTCGTATGGAACTCTCTCTTTTAACACAAACATACCTTTGCTACACTTATTTTTTAACATTAAGATTTCAAATTTATATAGTTTTAGACAGTGCTTATTACTGTGTAGTTAGTTTCAACCTTAACATATTTTTTATAGTTTATTTAGGCAAATTAACTAATTAAGATTAATGGTCGATTTTTAACAGCACTAAAAACGCCAAAAATGTAGTAAGCGAGGAACTTTTTTATTTTCTGAAACAATCATTGTTAAAGGAATACAATGCGCGTCGACATTATGAAACAAAACATTTAAAAATAGATAGGTGAAATTACAGGGCCGGTAAGAACAGAAAAAGGTTAATCAATGGTGTAAGGAAGTTTTGCATTTAAACTCTCCCTTTCAGATTACAAGAGATTAAACTTTTTCTTCGTCAGAGTGCTTAAAATGTAAAGTATAACTTTTCCTAAATTTCCGGGGGAGGACCCCCGGAACCCCCGCCCACAATGGGGGGTATTCCATACCAAGCCCTCCGGAGTTGTGGCCATGCTGACCTAGAATTAGAATAACCCCACACCCTCGATAGAATGGCCCCCTCCGAAAATTAGCCCTGGACCCGCCCTTGGTTGAAGGGTGCTTCTATGGGTGAATCGTTGCATAATACCTATGCAAATCTATGTTACATAACCTCAAAAATACCAACATTATATAAATCGTTTTTCTTCAGTCTAATATGTTGAAATGCAGTGTTTAATTAATATTTCGGACCAATTTTTTTATGTGGTAGGTTCCCCCATTATTGTTTTTGAAACACCATGGTTTATTTGACAAAAATAAAATAAGCAAAACAAAGAAATAGCCATCGTTAGCTTCAAGGTCAAGCTATCCGCTTGCACTGACATACTGACAATAATCTGCTCTTTACACAACTATGTCTGCTGTGCGCTTGCTTTCTCACAACAGTTTGTGATTGGGTGGTTAGTAACTGTTGTATCTCTATGTTTCAAATGCTATGCATTTAATAATTTAATCATCTGTTAGTTCAAAAATGTGATTCAATTTAAATAAACCAGTGACAAAATAAGGCTCATTTTTCAATTTAACTATTTATTTCAATATATAAACTTACAATGCATAACAGAAATGGCGACAAGAAGAGTCTAACGTGTGTTTTATATTTTTTTTAAAGTTTATTTTATATATATATTTTCAAAATGAACCAAGAACAGTTTGAAATATTAATCAAGACCTTGTCTTCATCTATTCAAGGTATGTCAAAGATTCAACAATCCAACATCACATTAATTTCCAATTTCGAACAGTTTGACTCAAACAAAGAAACTTTTCAACTATACAAAGAAAGATTTGAAAATTACCTAAAGATAAAGAATGCTTTTGATGATAAAACTATTTGTGGCCAGCTTTTTCTCAATAGTGTAGGTTCTAAAACATATGACCTTTTGTCTTCACTCTCAGCTCCAAAAAGTATTAATGAGCAAACCTATGATGAAATTACAAAATTATTAGACAATTACTTTCCAAAAACCAATGAAATTGTAGAACAACATAAGTTTTTATCCAGAATCCAGGCACAAAATGAATCAATAACAGACTATGTAACAGCTCTTAGGAAACAAATTGCAACTTGCAAACTTACCTGTACATCATGTGAAGCATCTGTTTCTGACTTATTCTTAAGATCACAGTTTATCAGGGGAATTCATGACTCTTCAATCAGAGAACAAGTAATCCAGACCAAGGACTTAACATTTGACATTGCCGTAGAAAAGGCAATGGCAATTGAAGCTTCGAAAATAGACAGTGCAACTCTGAACAACTTTTCTAGTCCTCAAACATCGTCACAGGCAGAAGTCAACAAGTTATTTACAAGACCAATACACCAGAATTATACACCAAGAAGGACAGCCTACCTCAACAACAGATCTGACAACAGACTAAATCACCCTTCCACAAGACGAAATAAGGTTGATTTGGCAACACTTGGAATTGGAAACCTGTGTTTAAGATGTGGTAAAGCAAATCACACATCCAGGGAATGTAAAACCAACATATCAGGCCTTCACTGCCAAAGCAGTGACAAGGATGGACACATAGCCAAGGTCTGTATATCAATTCTACTCTCTAAGAAATCCAGGCCTACAGTTAATACAATAAGTACTACTCTAAATGATTCACAGGACTTAAACTCACTTTATGGAATAGGGCAACTTCAAATTCTCAATGTATCCTGACTACAATTCATCAGACACAGAAACATTTTTCACAACTATTCTAATCAATGGGAAACCACAAAAGTTTGAGGTAGATTCAGGCGCAGCTCATACCCTTCTACCAAAGGCTCAATTTGATAGACTTAATCTTCCTCAAAACACAATCCAGAATACAAATATAAGGTTTCGTTCTTACACAAATGAGGTTTTCCAACCCTTAGGCTTAGTTAATGTTCAGGTTGAATACAATGGATGCTCATCTACACAGCAGTTGTTTGTAGTTCCTGACATGTAAAGCCCTATACTAGGTAGGACTTAAGACAACTTGGAGTTCATTTGAACGATCTTGACACCCAGAGACCAAAAGATACCGGTACTTATGTTAACTTAGTTTCCAGTGACACAGACAAACTAGTTACTGCAGTGGAATCAAAATTTCCAGAAATATTTTTACCGGAAATGGGACATATTCCTAATGTCACCTGCTCTCTAAAGTTAAGACCTCAATCCAAACCAGTATTTTTCAAACCTAGACCTTTACCGTATGCACTCCGGGATAGAGTGGGACATGATCTTGACAAACTCGAACAAGACAAAATCATCACTAAAATCAAATCATGCGACTGGGGTTCACCCTTAGTTGTAGTGCCTAAGCCTGATGGTACTCTAGGCTATGCGCAGACTATAAAGTCACAGTCAACCCTCACTCTACGATTCACACTATCCGATTCCTAGGATCGACGAACCATTTCACAAACAACAAAACAGAACAAAACTCTCAAACCACCTAAGAAAAACACATCATTACATCCAGGCTTTCAACAAGTAAGCCGCTCATTTAAAGTGAGGGAGAGAATATTAGTACGTTCCTTAGACGGCTGGAAGTTCGGAAAAGTTATTTTTCAACTTGGAGGTCTGCACTACAAAGTCAAACTGGACAACGGTTACATTGGCAAGAGACACATCGATCACTTGAAGAGAACATCAGTGCCAGAAACAATAAAAGTGCCAGAAACAACAGACAATACACTTTCCAGCTCATCTCCTAAAGAAAATACCAGTTCGCAATAACAGAACGTGACATTCAATGACAATGATCTGGAAAATATCGAAATCAGGCTTCAACGGAGAGAAGATAATAATGACAATGCTTCAACAGATGTTCCTCGCAAATCAGCCAGAACGAGAAAGCAACGAAAAAGACTGGACTTATGAATCAAATTTAGTGGGAAAAAAAACTGTCGTATCTCTATGTTTCAAATGCTATGCATTTATTGTCAGGGCCACATAAGTTTGCAGTTGAGGGAGGAGCCTATTTACCATATGGTTTTGAATGAACCAATAAGAACCGTGCGGTGTTGCCAAATCTAATAATACCAGCTGATTTGAAAATTTTGCATTGTATATTTAATAAGTGTTGTCAATGGGCGATGTGGCAACGTCGCACTAAACTTGTCTTGTGATTGGCTGCTACCAACTGCAAACTTACGTGGTCCCGACAATAATAATTTAATCATCTGTTAGTTCAAAAAAGTGATTCAATGTAAATAAACCAGTGACAAAATAAGGCTCATTTTTCAACTTACATTAATTTAACTATTTATTTCAATATATAAACTTACAATACATAACAGTAACCATGGCAAATTGTTGAATGTGGGGATAAAGAGAAACCAAAGAAAGAATAGAAGAACAAAGAAGAAAGAATAAGCGGTGTTTTTCGTCATCCATTGTTATCTTTATCATATTTTACGACTGTTGTTATTATCTTTAAGACTTTAAGTTCTGAAACAATATGTAGTAGTAGCCTATGCTGACTACGGTAGCAGTAGCTTGCAGTACTATACTTTATATTGTATTCTTACGTGATTTAATTATTGCTGTATGTACAGTGTTGTGTAATTTTTGTTTTGCTTGAGTAAGTGTGATTTTAAACGTTTCAGTTTTTATTACTTAACCAAGGTTTATGACTTAACATGTCACGATTGTGCAATACTATCATTTGTATTTTGATTATTTAAAATGCACTACAGCCGGTTAGTCAGGCCGTTTTGTAGTCCGGCCAGTGGTCCGGTCCCGAGGTGGCCGAACTAGAGGGAGTCTACTGTAGTGAATTAGTTATGTTTGAAAAAGGTGGTATGTACGTACTTATTCTTTTCTTTCACTTTAAGGACTATTACACATTAGAGGCCTAATTTTGGTCTTATTAAGAAAAATATCATTCTGTTGTCACTTGTCAAACCCACAACATGTGTCCAGTGATGGACATTTTAAATACAGTATTGTTTTCTTTCTTTTATACATAAAATCTTACATTTGAAATCTAGCTTTTATTGCTTACTTTATGGAGATACGCTGCACCTTAGTATCCTTTCATAATAATTAGAAGGATTAAAAATCCTATACAAGCTCTATTATTTAACTTAATTCATGTTTGACGTCATATACACAATTATGATTTATTGGTGATTTTTTCAGAGCACAAAGCTGTCGTAAGCCTCAGTGAATTAAGATGGACAGATGTTGTGGGTGCGGCTTTGTTTCTCTGGGCGTGGTTGCACCAATACAGAGCTGCAAACATATTGTCTGACCTCAGAAAAAACAAGAAAGGTATGTTAACAACAAATCCATCGTAGTTATAGTGTAATTGCTATTGATACTGTTAAACTTAAGTATTCCAAACACCAAGCATTCAGTAGAAACTATAACATATCAAAAATTTACATTTAGATAAGTTTAGTAGTAATAAAGATACTGGTAGTTTAGTTTGAGAATGGAACTTCATTTTTGATTAAAAAACTTTATTGGAAACACACACATTCCGTAAAATTGTGGTTTACTTATGTCACCGTTTTGGCTTTGATGACATTGAAGTTGCGTGTTGATTTTATTATGCACAATCAATGTCTTAACCACAAAAAATTGACAAAATCAACACAGTAAAAATAGTGTTAAAATGTTTAACAGATTCACTGCAAATCAACTTGTTGAGGTACAAAACAAAGAGCTACAAAGTATGCTAATAAGCCAGTCATGAAATTGAGGTGAATGGCAAACCAGCTTGAAGCGTGTTACTATAGTTTATAGTAACGGTACTGGACTCATAGGATCGTTAAGGCTCAATATAATCAATCTAGTGTTGCAAGGGATATTCCGAGTTGAATAATAAATATCTAAAATTAATTACTGAGCCAAACCACATCCATATCACAGCCATTTTGATGATCTAATAATTTCTAATGCATCTAATTAAATATAATAAGGAAAAGAACAGTGAAAACTTCCACTCGTACCTTATGGGTACGAGTGTGCTCTAATGTAGAATTTACATATTAAGCTGAAACAATTAATAGTTCCCAAGCCTCTTAATCCCCCCTTCCAGAAAAAAAATTTGAACATATTTTAATATTACTTATACTAAGGAAAACTTATCAATCGGCGGTGGAGTCCAGCCTTGACCATGGCGCCTACACCCTCTTGACTATGGAACACGACTGTCCTCTGTCTCTGCGCTTCCTACCCCCTCCCCCGTTCTCCAGCAGTCAGCTGATCTTTACCGTCTGATGCGTCGCCGCTGTGACGCAAGCGTCACAAGCTTCATAGTTTTCTCTCAATGAAATGAAATTGCATGTTGTAAAATACTATTCTACCTTAAGAAGCAATAAGTGGTGATTGATCAAGTTATGTTAAAAGCTAATTAAGTTCCCTTACGGGCTCAACCATTGTTTTGGTCCCCACCACTTTCTACTCATCTTACAAGCATTATCTCTCATTGACCTCTATGTAATGTTGTGTGCAGGTGAGGTAGTGACCCTAAAGCACAACATTCCCAGTGGAGACTGGTTTGAGCTGGTCTCATCTCCTCATCTACTGTGTGAGACTCTCATGTATCTAGCTGTCAGTCTCATCCTGCTAGGCAACTACACCTGGCCATTCGTCTTCTTCTGGGTCCTCTCCAACCAGGTGACAATGCTTTATCGCAACTCTCAGTAATGTCTACTAAGACCTCTTATTGCAAGTCCTAGGTCATAAAGTATAAAAATGAAAGCTTTTTGTACCTACATTATCCCGCCTAGTTTACCATAAAAAAACAATTACCGATTTGTACAATATCACGAGGGTTATACAAATGAAGTCTCTTAAAAGCTCTAATCGCGGCCAAGTGAGATGTGTCAAAATCAATTCACCATTGCTGTGTTCTTTACATTTTCTACTAAAACGGTTTTTTGTCCACCAATAACAACAGGTTACCGCATCCTGTTATTTCATTTCAGCAAAGTTGCCGTGAATTTGTTGCGTCCATTGGTGAGAGTCTCTTGTCGATGGCCGTTGTGTCCCCACAATATATTTTAAATTAATTGGACGTTACTAAACATTTTTAATACCTGCAAACTTATCATATACAAAGTTTTTGTCAGAACTATTGGTTTTTTTTTTAAAACAGTGTTCGGTGGTTCTGCTGAAGCATTGCCACAACACAACCAAAAGTCGTTATTTTAATAACAGAGGGAGTTTGCCGCAACACTAGCCTGACAACTGTCGTCGCGTGGTAACCCTGTTATTTATCCTGCTATGCAATGGTTATCTCGTCATAGTAGCTGATAGTGATGTGAGGGAAATATTGACCCTCCCGCCAACTGAACTGAAATTCACTGTTCTGTGCTTAGGTTTCTGATTAGGAAGGTGGGCAACTCATATTTAAATCCTTTGTCGGATTTGGAATTGCTTCTAAATAATTATAAAATCCTTAAATTACAGCCAACCCTTGTAGTTAAGGTTATTTGCTGAGGTAAATTGCTGCAATTCTGGTTAGCTAAATCAACTCTTTACACAAAATATACAGATATATGTTCGTAACTTTTACCGTCTTTTTGAACCTAATCAGAATTGAACTGAGGAAAATGAGGATTTGCAAACAATTACACCAACCTTTATTTTATCATTTTGTAATTACATTTTTTTCAGATGGAAACTGCGCTGTTGACTCACTGGTGGTATTTGTCCCACTTCAAAGACTATCCCAAAGAACGTCATGCATTTGTACCTTATTTACTTTAGGCCTAACTACTAAGAGATAGACAACTGATCATGGTTAGCTAGTTAGTCAATATCTTTGACTTTTGGAGTTGACATCTCATCTATTATGAACCTTCAATGAAATACCAGCTTTTATTTGAGCTATTGATCATTAAGATCGGACTTACCTAAAGCACGAAGCTGAATCACAAATCAACAATAATCATAATTATTTTAGGACTCGTCTGCAATCAATGATATGTAATTTTTGTTATTTTATGTCTTGGTCTTAATATACTCCTAGAAATAAAGGCTTTCATTTGAGATATTGATCTTTGAACCAGTTAAAGTTAAAGATACTGTATTACTAAATATGAAAAAAAAACATATTTTCATTACCATTATTGTGGATTTTATTTTGACCCGGGCAATGTGGAGTTTTGCTGCTAGTTGTAACTAACTTGATGCAAATTATTTGCATAAGTTTATCATAATTCATAATCTTATGTTAATCATATGTTTATCATAATTTGACTGAAGAATGTGTGACAAAAAATGAACTGTAGTTTGTATCTCATTTTCAAACACCAAGTTAAATTTAAGCATCATGTCAAAATGATTCACTTGAGGCGCTATTGAAAAAGTATACTATTAGCACATATTTATATTTTGTTTGATTTTGGATTTGAATTGGTTCCAACAAATAAATACTCGGGCAAAATCTAGATGCTTTTTAGGCTGTGGTTTGTTAGATTTATAAGATTGATATTTAAAAAAATGGTTGTATAATTTTACATGCTGTTATTAAACTACTGTCTTAGTCAGTAGTATTTTAAGTAGCTTAAGAAAGAAAAAGGTAAAAAACTAAATAATAGGCCTTTTAGTATATGATTTAAAAGAAAAAAAACTTACTATTTAGTAGTGGATCATGGCAGACTGTAACCAATTTAGTGCAGGTCCCCCCGGGCACTGAAATATAATTAATGTTATACAGGGTAAATTGATATGACTTTGTTAAGAGTACAGAGAGTTCACAAAATATTGGCTCTTCATTTGGTGAAATATTGTGTACTTTGTGTTCTATGACTTGTATTAAGCGAAGGTGCTATCCCTCTTTATTCTACAATAATTCATTATGCTGTAAAAAAGTATTTTAAGGCAGCGTCTGCTGTATTTTACATTCTTTTACTTAATCAAAATAAGTGATATTTTAACATAATCAATACTGAAGACTGTTTATATATTATATATTTACTATTTTTCTACTGTTGTTCAATAAATATTTGTTTGTTACAACTTTCAAGTGTATTATTTATGAAAAAACAAGATCCCATCATGATTATGATGTATTAATAACTCATCTCAGTAGAATTTTTTGTCTTAAGATTCTGAATCGACTACTTGACGGATGCTTATAAAATTCTTCTTTTGAAGGAAAGATAATTTTACATGAAAGGGATTGTCCAAGCCATAATTTTAATTTTGGGTATTAGTTTTTTAGAAATTTAATTAATTTTTATTACTTTCTCCCCCTATATAATTGGTTTTGAGTGGATAAAAAAGTGGTTTTCGAAGTGATGTCTGTGCATGTGTGTGTCTGTAGGTGTGGATGTGTACGGAGCTACAGACCACACATGTGGTCCGGTTTTGATGAAATCTGGTATGTGGGTAGGTTTAATGGGCAGGCATTTTTTAATTTTTTTAAAATTTGATTTTCCCAAATAAGCCCATAAATAACCAGAAAATTTGAATTTTCTCAAAAATTGCCCGAACAATTCTAGTCAAATTGTAGTGTGTTAAACATGGTATAACTCCCATTGCTGTAAAAATTACGGTTCAAAAGTTATTGTAACTTATATTATTTTCCCATAAAAAACAGAAAATTAGTTTTTGAAAAAATCTGATTTTGATCAAAATTAGTAGGTTATGGTCTTTTAAAAAGAGTGCAACCAACCATTGCAGTAAAAATTATAGTTCAAAAGTTATTGCAAATTTTGTTATTTTACCTATTAATATCATAGTTTCTCTCATCGCTTATACAAGTTGTTGACAAGCTAATGGGAGAAAGTATGTGTCAGATTGCTGATACTGTTTATTTAAGTCTGTTGGCTGACACTAACTTTTGAGCTTGTTTCAATGTAATATTATTGGGTTTAACTGACAGCTAAACTATTTTCGGCTAGTAGGTAACACAATATAATAGGTAAAAGAGATGTTTAATTATTTACATTAGGTATATCATTTTACAGAAGGGATAAAATTACTAATGACAAAAAACATTGAACAATAATTTAATGATAATTCTTACTTAACAAAAACACAGCTATAAAATAGAATCTGTACTGACATGGATAAAAACATGCAATAAAAGGAACTGATGTGAGAGGAGTTATGGATAGAAGAGCCTTGGCTCATTGATGTCAGTCCATTGTAGGTCTATGGTGAGGGATCCATCTGATTCCTTGACCTGAGCACAGTTAACACATTCATCCGAGCCTTCTGTAAAAGGAAACACCAATATGCTTTAATACTTTTTTAAATACTTTTGTTAGTGCAGTTTAGATAGTTAACTGTAGCCTATTAGAACTGAAAATATTTTTCTCTGGCCTACTATTTCCTCTATTTCTGCACGTTTGAATGCAAAGACTTCTGAATCAACTCGCTTACTCAAAGGTAGACCACCTCTAAGTCCACATCGTTCCAAGGCGCACGTTAGTCTATGCTAGATAACTGTGGGGCTTTGCAATACAGGGTCTTTTATGTAACACTTGTCACAAGGCCCTGCTTCCCCCTCCTTGTGATGTCACCACACGGACAGTCAAGCCTGTTGCCATTACGCGGCCAGAGAAAATAAAAGGACAAATTTTGTGTTGGCGTATTACTATAGTACCAGGGGACCAAGCATTGCTCGAGGTGTTTGATTTGTTTAAGAGATAAAAAAATAAAACCTATGAGCCTACAAATAATTTTAGTTTTGCTACGATTAATTATGTCAATTCGTTTTCAGTAGACATTTACTCATTCTTAATTTACCTAATAAAATTTTTCAGACAGAGACCTTTCTTTAGACACCTCTACCAAGTATCTACGCCCAGCCGTTCCCTCAAATTAATGGAGACAAAGTTTCCAATTAAATATTTAGATTCCCCGTTTTAATCTTATGGGAGAAAACCCAACTTTGATGGACGATCCTGCCCAAACTAATAAAGATTTAAAAAAATGAAAAACACAGATCAGGGCCATTTTTTGACACCTTAATCATCAAAATCGGTCCAAAAATGAGGGAGGAGTTCTGTTTACAAAAATCGGCTGAGCGTAATATATATATATAGAAGATACTTACCCATAACAAGCAATGAAATTTTGTCAGGAAGAAATTTTGTTTCTTCAACCTTTGCCAAAATAGGTTTTGATAGTTCTGCCTCGCCGTTGTCATTAAATTTCCAAACCTGAAAAATTAAATATCAACTAGAATATTTTTCTTGGATTGAGAATATGTCCTCTCTCAAGCAAGTTTACACGAGGCCACTATATGCAGGCAGGTGACGGGACAGGTTACTCGCCTCTAATGTATTTCAATTTACTTGTGCAGGTAACCTGCCAGCCTACTGACCTCGAGTAAACGCGTCTTTAGGCTCATTTTCAAAGATTCAAATTAGTAAAAATTGATTTTAGGTGGCAGCACAATATATTGTGACTTAGCCATTCAGACTTAGTCGACAAACGTAATATTCAAAATAAAGACCAATTACCAGTGGGATCCGGTTTAACCGGCATAATGTTGACACATCCCTGGATTTTTTTTTTAAGTAGCAGAGTTGGTACATAAACTTAACATTGGAAAAGAATAGAACAAATAACTGAGTGTTTTGTTGAAATGTTATATGTGTGTGCATAATTTACAAGGCATATTTAAAAAAAATATTCTTGCAATATTGAAACCATATTCCCCCTATTATTACTCTTTGCAAACCTACTTCTTATTTTAGATTTTATTTCACATAAAAATTGCTTTGTGCTTAAGAAAAGATGGAAAGAAGACTATACCACTCTCAAATTAAAACAAATTTTGACTTATACGTACTTTAAATAATATATAATCTCCTGTTACTACTTTGTCAATGATTGGGTAGTTGGAGAGGTTTATGTCTTGTAGGCTGTTGGGCTTAAGTGGAGGTTTGCAAATGTCTGGCAGCCCATTCCTACCATCTTCATTTGAAGGCCCAGCGCAGCCATTTATTTCACCATTTACTTCTCCATTACATCTCTGAACATCCTCTTCAGGAGTTTCGTGGCTGTCTGAGTTTTTGGGATTAGTGTGCTCTGTGCAAGGAACAGCAGAGTGATCTTGTGCTTGAGAATCCGATTGCTTGCTTGCAGAGACATTGGTTTTCCTAACAAATACCATCGGTTTCACACCAGAACTTGCGAGTCTCAACAGGTTGTCCTTCCATGATGGAGAGGAAGATGGCTGTTCTTTGGATTGACACGATTGACTGACGTTCAATGAGTCTGAGGACAAAGTAAACGACAAACTTGGAGTTAATATGTTGCACAATTATCTTACTAATATTGTAAACTAGCTGTACCCACGGGCTTTGCCCCGTTTAACTTCACAAGGGAGCTCGTTTGCATGGCTCCTGGTTGAAGTTCGTTCGCTACGCTCACTCACCTTTAGGTTGGAGCTTGTTTGCTCCGCTCAATTGCCTTCTGGTTAGCTCGCTCACTACGCTAACTCGCTTCCAGGTTGAAGTTCGTTGGCTATGCTCACTCACCTTTTGGTTGCAAATTGGCTGTAGTCATAAATAAAAAAAAAATAATAGTGCTGCACCCTGTTGGTAATCCTTGTAACTTGAATGCTATTGAACATCATAGAACAGAACCAACTTGTTTAATTGAAACAGCTGTTAAGAAATTCCTTTTAAATATGAAAAATCATAAGGTTAACATGGGAAACTCCAGAGCCACAGGGGAGGAGCCCGAAAGCCCAATCAGAATAAAAACTACTTAGTTTTCCTATTTAATGTTCATAGAATCAGTGTACCGAATTTCAACCTCCTAGGTAAATGGGAAGTGGGAGAATTAATAAGTGGGAGAGTGAGTGAGTCAGTCAGTGAGGGCTTTGCCTTTTATATATTAGATGTGAAAGTCTGTGTGTTTGTTTGAAGTTCTATCACGCATAAACTACTAGACGGACTGGGCTGAAATTTGGCATGATGATAGCTCACATTGCCAATTAACATATAGGCATATTCTTATTTTAAAAATCCTTTTGAGCTCCGCCCCAGTGGCTTTGTAGTTCCCCATGTTAACCTTATAAGTATTCATATTTAAAGGGAATTAAAGAATTTAGTCAGCTGTTTTAATTGAAAAAGTTGGTTCTATAGGTAATATGCAAAATCATTAAAAATTATAAGATTTACCAACAGGATGCAGCTCTGTTTTTTTTTGTATTTATGAAAACAGCTAATTTTAAGTAAGCAGCAACATAACACTGTGATATGCAATGAGAACTGTAAAAAGTAGGATTGTTTACTTACAGTTATGTTTATGTTTTTAATTTCTAGAATAATTTTTGATATTTTGTGAACTTTTAATAATTTATTTTTCTCTATTGTTTATGTGAAGTGGTGGAACATTATGGCTATGGTGGATGTGTAATACTATAGTATACTGTTAATTTAAAGAAGCAAATTTTATCAAAAATGTGTCCCCCCATTGCAAACGCAAAGCTTGAGTCGAGTATAACTGCAATAAGCATCTTATACTTATATCCCAACCCCGTACGAAGGATGGGTACTCTGCTAGTATAAACATATATATAAAAACTTTAATATTTGCAGCACAGCTACCATTACAAAAACTTCTTGAGTTAGGCCTACCATCTTAGCGATCATGTTTTTAGCGGGTTTACTCAAGGTGCATAGGTTGTAAATAGGCAAAGATGAAAATTCTTTTTGAAATGTAGTTATTGTGACAATAAAGTACTTGACTTGATGTTGAAATATAATGATAGACAAAATTAGGTCTCTTTAAGTAGAAACTTATCATACCAACTAGTATAGCCTGAATCTAATTGCTTAGGCCTATACAATGAGTGTGATACACTAATAATCAATGTTATGTTTTACTTCTTTTACAAACTAACCTTTTTGTGATTTTTGAGGTGAAGTTGAAGGAACATTTGTTTCTTCAACATCTTGTTCCGAGAAGAAAATATGCTTAGAAGACTCGGATTGTTTGGTAACTATGGGTTGAGTTTTCAATTGGCTCAGGATTGGTCCCACAGCAGTTAACAAGCGTTTTTCCTTTTTCTTCTTTTTATTATGTTTTCTTTTTCTTTTCGGCTTCTTAACACAAACATCTGAGGAAAATTCACCTTCAGCAATATTGTTTTCTTCTTCATCCCCAGCAACACTGTCTGATGTAGACTGCTCATAGGAGATACCATTAGATTTTCCTTCATGCTTTGAATCTGAACTTTGCTTTATACCTAAAATAATACTATCAATTTGTGATTGCAGCCTTGACGCAAGTAGATTTTTCTTTTCTTCCATTGAAATGTCATGAGATGTTTTTGAAATAGAATCGTTAGGGATAGAATCTTTCAAGTCACAAACAGGAGTACTTGAATAATACTGGTTTCTCTGAGACTCCTCCGTACATTTTGATTCACTGTTTTTCTTGCTATGCCTGTGTTTTTTTCTGGTCAAATGTTCGTCCTCTTGGATATGGTTCTCATAATCATTTGAATCTTCTTGAACATCTGTTAGTGACACATAGTTTGCACAAGCTATGGAACTTCTATTGAACTGGTCTTCCTTCACTTTTTTATGCTTAATTTTGTTATTTTTGTCCTCATTTCTTGATCCATTACCACCATCTGTAAGTTCCAGAGGGGCTTCACCAGCTTCATCCGTATGCTTTTTCTTTTTCTTAGGTTTTTTGTGCTGTTCCTTCAAAACATCTCCACTGTTAGCATCATTTACACAATCACTCAACAATGATCTATCATCAGTAGAAAAACAATTTGAATGTTTCTTCCTCTTGGAATCCTTGACACTCATGTCAAGAATATCTCCTTCACCATCTGATTCACTATCCTGCAAATGCCTTCTCTTTTTATGCTTTGACTTTTCCTTTGCCGTCTGATTTCCATTGATCAAAATATCACGGTTTTGAGACACTTGGTAATTAGTGGATTTCTTACAGTAAGCGTTAAGTGACAGAGACTCGCATGCACCAGGAATTGCACACACATTCGTCTTTAATCTTTGTTTTGGTCTACATGACAGATCTATTGTTTTTTCAGCCTGTGTGAGATTTAGGGCCTTTTGGTCACAAGTTGAATTGGAACCATCCTTTCTGGTCTTGTGTATTTGCACATCATAAAAGTTACATTTTTGAACCCTGAAAAAAGAAAGTACCATTAATATTAGGTATATTACAAAACATTGGTTTATAATCATGATTACACTAGGTAGGCTATTCAACATTTTATTTTGCTTCTTAGTATTAAGGACATAACTTATAGCCTACAGAAACCTATGTACAAGGATAAAAGGAGTCAAGGTTGGAATGCTTGCCGGTTAGATTTATTAAAATGCCAGAACATTTTGCAACAGTTTGCATAAATAATTAAACAAAAAAATGAATAAAAATATTATAAAAAAAGTTACCTATACTAGGCTAGCTAAGTATATTGTTTATCATTAGATTCAGGAAGAAACAGAAAATATTGTTATGTTAAACTAAGTTAGGTACCGTAGCTGTTTTCACGATTTTCAATTGTGTTTTTTTGGGTTGAAATTAAGTTATGGTAGGTAGCCTAGGTGTTTGCCAAAACAGTGGAAGAGGAAAAAGTGTTTGAAATGCGTAAATAACTTAGGTTAGGAAATGAGAAAAATAATTTTTAATTAAAGTAAAAAAGGTTTTTCAAACACTTAGAGGCCTAATTGCTGATTTCTAGCAGTTATCTTGATTTTAAAACGCGATTTTCAGGGTGAAATAGGTGTTTCCCCCAAAAATGCCAAAGGTGAAAACTGCTTAAAATAGTCTTATTAGGCTATAGGCAAATTAGATAAGGCAAAAAAAGAATAAAATAAACATTAGTACCTAGTATAAGTTCAGTCAGTTTATTACCCAGTTTCTTAACTGGGCTAGGGGCTACGCTAAGTTACTGATTGAAACTAAGTTACAGTAGGCCTACACTCCCGATTATCCGAGCCCTTGGGTTAACGAGGTCGTTTCTGGCCTGAATATATATTTTTATTTTCAGTAGGAAAACATTAATCACTTACTGGTACCGGTAGGCCTATAGTATATTTCTATATACACTAGTAGTACGCTTATTCTGCGCGTAACAGGATGAGTGAACATGAGCGCAATAATGAAAGAGTTTACCCACACCTAGCCCACTTACCGGTGTCACTGGTGTACAAAAAAATGTTATTTGTATGGGCAAATCAACCCATGAGTCGGAGCAAATAATGGTGAGTCGGTGACTCAAGTCGGTAGCGTCACGCGAACTTCGGGCCCAAGGCAGCGATGTCGTAAGTTCGGATCCTGGTCACTGCCACTAAATTTTATCAGTACAGTTCACCTTTGTACTGTTCTGGCTCACCAATTGCTTTGCTGTAAACGATCCACGCACGGGCGAGGTTAAAAGAGGCTGGACCAACCTCTTAAAAAAAACCAAATCTCAGTCAACAACAATCCTAACTTCTCGTCCATTAATTAACCAAAGTCATTGGTAATATACGTAACGTATTTCCTGTTTCCCTCTCTTCTCATAGCATTTTACTATTGCAGATACGTTAATCTAACTGTCACAAAGAGTTCCCACACTCTGGACTGTTCACCTTGACTACTTCCTTTACCACTTCCTACGTCGTGGACCTGTTTCCCTCCCTTCCCATAGCATTTTTAGAATTGCAGATACTGTACATTATTCTAATTATCACAAAAGGTTTCTACACTCCGGAATGCTCGCCTCGACTATTTCCTTCACCACTTCCTACGTCGTGGACCTGTTTCCTTCCCTTCCTATAGCATTTTAGTATTGCAGGTATATTAATCTAACTGCCACAAATGGTTTCTACACTCCGGACTGCTCGCCTTGACTACTTCCTTTACCGCTTCCTACGTCGTGGACCTGTTTCCCTCCCTTCCTATAGCATTTCATTATGGCAGATACATTAATCTAACTGCCACAAAGGGTTCCCACACTCCGGAATGCTTGCCTTGACTACTTCCTTCAGTACTTCATAAGTGTCGTGAACCTGTTTCCCTCCCTTCCCATAGCATTTTTAGAATTGCAGATACATTATTCTAATTATCACAAAGGCTTCCGACACTCCGGACTGCTCACATTGACTACTTCCTTCACCACTTCCTACGTCGTGGACCTGTTTCCCTCCCTTCCTATAGCATTTTAGTATTGCAGGTATATTAATCTAACTGTCACAAAGGGTTTCTACACTCCAACTGCTCGCCTTGACTACTTCCATCACCGCTTCCTACGTCATGGACCTGTTTCCCTCCCTTCTCATAGCATTTTAGAATTGCAGTTACACTAATCTAACTGCCACAAAGGGTTTCTACACTCCGGACTGCTCGCCTTGACTACTTCCATTACCGCTTCCGACGTCGTGGACCTGTTTCCTTCCCTTCCTATAGCATTTTAGTATTGCAGGTATATTAATCGAACTGCCACAAAGGGTTTCTACACTCCGGACTGCTCGCCTTGACTACTTCCTTTACCGCTTCTTACGTCGTGGACCTGTTTCCCTCCCTTCCTATAGCATTTTATTATGGCAGATACATTAATCTAACTGCCACAAAGGGTTCCCACACTCCGGAATGCTCGCCTTGACTACTTCCTTCACCACTTCCTAAGTGTCGTGAACCTGTTTCCCTCCCTTCCCATAGCATTTTTAGAATTGCAGATACATTATTCTAATTGTCACAAAGGCTTCCCACACTCCGGACTGCTCACTTTGACTACTTCCTTCACCACTTCCTACATCGTTGACCTGTTTCTCTCCCTTCCCATAGCATTTTTAGAATTGCAGATACATTATTCTAACTGTCATAAAGGCCCCCCACACTCCGCAGCGCTCGCCTTGACTACTTCCTTCACTATTTCCTTCACTACTTCCTACATCTTAGACCTGTTTCCCTATCTTTCCATAGCATTTAAGTATTACAGATACGTTAATTTAACAGTCATAAAGGGTTTCCGTACTCCTTTCTTTTCACTGCTCACCTTTCCGCTTTACTACTCTCTACGTCGGGGACCTGTTCCCCCCCCCCTTCGCATAGCATTTTAGTATAAAAATATACCAACATTTTTGAATATTTAATATTCAATGCCAACATTAAATTGAATAATGTAAAAAGCTGCTTTGTTCTAAATACATACATACTTATATACTTTTAATTAAAAGGCGAAATTTTAATACTGAACATAAACGGTATATAACTGCCGACTAATATTGTTAAGTTCAATTTATTATTATGAAAGTTGTGAGATTTAATTAGCTTAAATAACATTATTCTGAAAGCTGTGAAATTATAATGATATATATTCATAGACGCCAAACTGTTTACTCCATGAATGAAAGAGCTTAGAGTAAAAGTCGTTCTCTCTGTCTTAAGTAGACAACAAAATTGTTGGTCGCAAAACGTAAACAAATAAAAAGAAGAAGAAGGTAGCTCCTAATGTTATTCTTATGGGACAAATTTAAAAATGTTTTTTAAGTATTTTATAATTACTACTGAGCGGAATCGTCTAGAATTTTAATGGTGTCTTTACACTGGTGTCATAACTATTTGTGCAAAATTTGAACGCTATAAGTGCAACGGTTCTTGAGTTTTAGGTGCGAACACACACACACACATACTCCAGCGGACAACTTTTCTCCGACTCCGCTATACACGATACATAGATTCGTTCACTTCGTTCACTCATCTATTAAAACCCTTGATCTGGCGGTCATTTTATTCACCAGTGGCGGGTATATTTTGGTACTATTGTAGTGGTATCATATATTTTGACACAGAACATTTATTTGTGAATATAAGTACACACATATGTATATTTTCTATTTCAGTGATAAATTTAGAATGTAATATAAAAATATTCTTTTCCTAGAAATGCGTTTAGGCGTAGTAGCAAAAGGTTTACAAATTTTTGGATTATGCAAATTAGGAATTTCAAAAGCAACCCACCAAGAAAACCACAAAATAATTTTTTTACACATTTTATCTAAATGTAAAGTTTGTGTGAAATATGATTCCCTACGTAGAAATATCAATGTTTTTTAAATACTCATAAAAATAAAATTATAAAAAAAATAAATTCTACATAGCCTAACTTACATATTTTCTTTTTTGAAAAACTACCAAATTTCTTTTTGTCACGTAGGAAATAATAGAATGCATCAACAAAAAATGAAATGATACTATAGACTACTTGGTAATATAAAGATCTTTCTGAAAATATCTAGTTATATTTAGTTGAATTCTAAAATGTCGGAGAAATTTACGTCGGAATGTAAATTTTTTTTTTACAAAAACATAATAGGCCTATTTATGACATTTTTTAAAAACAAATAGCCTACAATTTTTACAATCAACTTTATAAGTTAGATTCACAAGGAATTGTAGGGAATTTATTGTAGTTTCAGAACATGTACTAATATTGTATACAATTTAATTGAAAATCACCAAAAACAGCTGTTTTTGTAGTCAGGTGACCTAAACTTTCCACCGCCAAAATCTATTTTGAACTCTCTAGTTTTTTAAACTATGTTTCTCGCTACATAATACTCACTCAATAATGTTTTATGCATGAAAATGAATCCTCAGAATCTCATCTTTCTAATGGTATAAGATTTATTGCATTTTAAAACTGTTTTCATATTTTAATAATAGAAAACCCCGACCCATGTCATCTTGGTCTATAATCGACCAGCGCCAGATAGAGGGTTAAAGGAACGTAATAATAACAATTAATTTGTGATTTATTGAAACAAATACAGTAGCCTACTTGGAATAACAACAAAGTATTATTAAAACATTAGAATGAACCGCAAAAACCTTAAAAATTAAAATCGCACGGTACTAGGTTGGCTAGCTACCGATGGCAAACTAATTGGACTGGATGAGCCGTCCGCAGAACATAAACAGTAGCAGTGTCAGTCAGTCTCCTTCATTCATTAACTCATATTGATGTAGACGTGATTGTGTCAAGTTATAGATGAGGTCAAATTTGAACAAAATGTAATTTTACACATTTTAAACTAGAAAAACCTTAGGGTTTTGTTTTGAATAATGTAGGACTAGTGTGTTGGTTTATCATTATTATTATTGTTTTTTCACAAAATTTATAATGGTTTCTATCTTTATTGTTGATTTGTTTTTCTTATAATTGCTATTTATTCAATCATAGCCTTTATTTGTTGTTAATTAATTTTAGTTTGATAGTTTACCTAGGCCTACTAAGTTATACTAAGTTAGGCCTACATTTTTGTAAAATGGTGCTAAGTTACCGTGGAAATAAATGAATTGAATTGTACTGCACCGATCAGCAAGTTTGATTACTTTAGTTAAGTTAGGTTAAGATGGTTTCATTTTATAATTATTGATGTAAGTTAGCCTAAGCCTAGTTAAAATATGTTATTGGTTAAATATACGATGTTTTCAATCAATAACTTGCGTAGCCCAGTTAAGAATCTGTACTCGCTAGTGATGGGCGATACGGACGCGTATCGCGATACAGCGATACGATACGTATCGGAAAAAAATATCGTATCGCCGTATCGAATCGGGCGTCTGTATCGCGATACGCGAATCGTATCGTCAAAAATATCAAAAAACGATACGTATCGTATCGTTTCCCCCCTCCCCTACCTAACCTAGAAACGGCAAATTTATATAAGTACTTGGGGACCAAGCTTTGCTCGGGGAAAATCATTAGTTTCTTACTCTGAAAACAGTCTTAGTATTGCAGATACATTAATCCATTTCCACACTCCACACTGCTCATCTTTACTACTTCCTTCACAACTCCCTACGTCTTGGACCTGTTTCCCTATCCTTCCGATAGCATTTTAGGATTGCAGGCAGATCTAGTGCTAGATAGCACGTTAGTGGAAATAATGGACTGGACTGGGATGGGACTGGTACATTATCAAGTAAAAACCAAAAATACAGACGTCAAAAACTCCTATTTCAAACTACACATCCACAGAGTACAGATTTTGCAGTTTGCTCGAGCCTGCGGGGGCCTGCGCAAAAAAAGCTTAAAACTATCGTTTTGACATGAATCGTATCGCTCTATGTGCCGATATAAATACAAATATCGTTTTAGGCGATACGATACATATCGTTTTTCAAATATCGTATCGTCCCTCGCGTATCGCGATATTCCGATACGATACGATACGTATCGCACATCACTAGTACTCACGAGGCCTATCGGGAAGCCCTAAAGGGAAGCTTATCGTAAAAGTTTGGCCTAGGCCTAGGCCCAAGTTTACACTCTTGGATTAGGTTTTAACATATAAATAATGGTTTATTAATTGGGCTTTGGTTATGAACTGTACTTACTTGTAAATATCATAAAGTTGTAAAATTTGTAAGCTCTCACTCTTTGGTATTAAAACCTTTTTATGAACAAGGCATATATTATCTTCCAAACCGAACACCGATTTAATGTGGTTCAGAACATCTCCGACAGTTTTGTTTTTAGACTGATTGACGTAAACACATGAGTATTCCCTTAAATCGCTAAAATATTCAGACAAATCTAAATTTAATGGAAATCCTGACATTCTTAAGCACGAGGGATTCAACTAGCATTAAATTGACGACAAGAACCAGACATCATAAGTTGCTGAGTAAAACTGTCAGTGTCAATCACAAATCACAAACTCAAAACAAAATACATTCACATTGACATACACAAATAAATACAAACTCAGAACTCAGCCAGCTTCCAGGCTAGCCCTGGAACTCAGCACAGCACTAGCAGTCCAGCACGAACACAAAAACAAAACTAACTTTGATGATACGCTAAGCTACGCCACTACTCACTCAGTCAGTACTCACTACTATAAACTAACAGCAGTAACAGCTGCGGAGCGGACTTCCGGACTAGCGGGCAGCGGACATTGGACAACGAAACGAGGAACTAGGAACTAGAACTAGGGATAGCGCTGGGTTCACAACGATATGGTAGGCATTCGGTTAAATATCGAGCTTGTTTTCTACCGGATGACAGACATCGACTTTTAGTATCGGCATCGGCTCTCTGGCTCACCGCACCGGCTGTCTCATACTCATTGTGGAATAGTAAACTATTGCCTTGGTGCCTTCTGCTGCAGCTGCTCCTATAGCTCCTATGTCTGTCGTCAAACGTCATAATGTGGCCTTGACGACGGAAGGCCATAATTTTATTCACAATATTACAGTGAGAGTGAATGCAAATAAATAAGTACAACATAATATCTGAACCTGGCATAAAATTTGCCAATGAAAATGTTTATTATCCAATTACAGTAAGGCTGATAACCAGCATGATAAATATATAAGAACTTAAATTACGGAGGAATTTTAAAATTAATATTCCAGTAACTTGCGCAATTAACGCCAGATAAATTACCACCCCTTTACGCCCTTACTTTTAAAAGCGTTTAGATGACCTTTGCATATTTCCTCCATAATAATGCACTATGCACCATGAAACTGATCAAAAGGAACAATGTTGGAATAAATTATATCAAATATTTTCCTCTCCTTTTAGGCTAGTGCTAGTAGTTTTTGTAATCTCTTGTCTTCTCTCTTCTGTCTGTCGGTGTTGGTTGGTTTGGTTTTTTTTTTAACAAAGTTTATTTACAATCTGTTTTACATTAAACAATTAATAATTAAATACGATGACATTTTTATTAATAAAATAAAAATTGGAAAACATGAGTTAGCAGCTAAACTGGTTTGTTTACGTTTTGGTTGGTTGGTTGGCGCTATGGAAGCCAATCGATTTACGATATTCGATAGTAGCTGTTTTCATACTACGACGATCGATACTTAACCGTATGCCTACCATATCGTTGTGAACCCAGCGCTATCCTAGAACTAGAAGGAACCAACGATGTAAAGAACACTGAGCTATATCACTATAGCTCAGTGGTAAAGAACTGAGTTGTTTATATCGTTGGAAGGAACTTGACGGTTGACGAGCTTGTTTGTGCGCAAACCGGCCGCCTTAAACTCCGGCCTTTGAAGTGGCAACGTCGCAAGTCATGGTGGAAGGAAAAACCATAACAATTAGTATGTATTTGTTTTGATTTGATTGTTATTGTTTTTATAATAATAAAAACAATAACAACCAAATCAAAACAAATACATATACTAATTAGACAGTTACAATGGTGATCTTTTGTTTGCAATCCGAGTGACGTTAGAATATGTGGGAATAGCACACCTATGTTTTTTGCTTCCACCATGGTCGCAAGTGGTGTTGTAACAGCTGTTTAGTTTGGCAGCAGCTAATGGTGTTTGTGTATTTAAGAAATCTTGGTTACTGGACTATGACAATATTGAATCCACTTTAAAAGTACAAAAATTAATTTTATATTTAAATATTGTTTTTGTTTTCAATTCTATATGTTTTATTTTCAATCTTTCAATAAATTTATGTTCATAAATTGTAATTTAAATGAATAATACATGAAATAATGAGCTGGTGTCACATGTCTGCCATGTTATCTTATAAGACGTCTGGCGCTAGACAACACCACTTGCGTGCGACGTTGCCAATTCTACCAGGCCGCGGCCTGTAGTTGAAGGCGGCCTTGGCATACAGCACAGTAAGACATAGAGTAAACTATAAACTGTAAACATAACTAAATCCAGACTATTGGTTACAAAACACTAACCAACTTAAGCTTAAGGTAACTTAGTTTTTAGTTCAATAATTAAACTAACCAACTATCATGAGAGTGTTTGTCTAGATTTTTCATTCTAGGTTATTTCTGTATGGTTTGTTCGTTCATTGTGGTATCTCATTCATTATTAAACCGAATTTCCAACTAAATGCTCAATATAGGAAATGTGATGTGGAAAGCGAAAAGAGACCTCTTGTCGTCGATGCAAAATTTTCAGTACGGCCAATATAAGTAAATGAGGTAACAAATATCGAAATTCGGGATTTTATCGATTGTTACACATCATTTAACATAGAACAGGTCATCGGTTAAAATATCGAATTGAAGATGTAAAGGTCGAAATAAATCATTATGTTAGCCTCTGAACGGTCTGAGAAAAAGTACCTCTTGTCGCTCAATGTTATATCGCCATAACGACAAAAGAGGTACCATTTCTAATATTCAATTTATAAACAGACTTTAGTCCAAAAAATGAATTCTTATACATTCTAGTGGTAATTTAGAAAACTACAACAAAGTTCAGTTTGCGGAAAACAAAATATCTCACAAATTTTTAGTCCCGACAAGAGGTACCTTTTCTTATCTTATGGGTAAATAACATAGGACCGACAAGAGGTCTCTTTTCTGAGATTCGATTTTTACGACAAGCTTTGATAAAACAATTATTTAAATTAAAACTACCGTGAGTCAACACAAAAATTGGTATTGCCTGGTAAAATTGGTATTTGTCCATTAAAATTTTAATTGGTATGCTGCCTCCAAAAGAGAACATTATAAGCTTTCCGTTTGATACATCACAATTGTTTTTTAACCACGAAAAACCAGTTTTTATGCGTATTTGAAATTTTGAAAATATTTTTTATCGAAATGACCTTTTTCCATAACAAAATTTCAAAGTCCTAACTTTAACAAAGAAAAAATAATAATAATAATAAAAAATCGTAGATGCATGGGACTTGAATCTAGTGATTCGGAATTTAATAAGGAATTTAAATATATAGCTCAAAATAGAAAATTCCCTACAAGAGATCCCATTCGCTTTCCACATCACATATCATTGCAAAATATATCCCTTGTCCTCTCATATAATAACCAGAAAGTATAAAGTACAAATCGTAACGCGTATCTTATAGTACGGGAAAAATAGAACTGATGAATTTACAAGGGAGTAGTTTTACTGCAGATCTCTGTTTTACTAATAATATTAGTTTAAGTACTTTATTATGAAATAGGCCCCTGGTATGAACTTACTGTGATCCATCTATTTAGTATCTTTTTCACAATATTATATCATGTGTGTATTTTCCGTAAGTTATACACCGTAGTCCTCAATGGTGGAAGGGAAATACATAGATGTGCTATTCCTGACATATGCTGACGTCACCCAGATTGCAAACGACATTTCACCATTTAGACAAAGTTATATAACGAACTAGCTGTACCCGCGGGCTTCGCCCCGTTTAACTTCATAAGTATTCGCATGGCTCATTCACGTCCTGGTTGAAGTTCGTTCGCTACGCTCACTCACCTTTAGGTTGGAGCTCGTTCGCTGCGCTCACTTGCCTTCAGGTTAGCTCGTTCGCTACGCTAACTCGCCTCAAGGTTGGAAATTAGCTGTTGTCATAAATAAAAAAAGAAATTAATAGTGCTGCACCCTGTTGGTAATCCTTGTAACTTTTATGCTGTTGAACATCATAGAACAGAACCAACTTGTTTAATTGAGACAGCTGTTAAGATTCATAAATTCCTTTTAAATATGAAAACTCATAAGATTAACATGGGGAACTACAGAGCCACTGGGGCGGAGCCCGAAAGGGTTTTTGAGATAAGAATATGCTTTAATGTTAATCGGGAATGTGAGCTATCAGCATGCCAAATTTCAGCCCAATCCGTCCAGTAGTTTATGCGTGATTGAGCAACACACACACAAACATACACACAAACTCACAAACTTTCAGATTTATAATATTAGTAAGATACCAATCAAATCAAAACAAATAAATAAGTATATGGAAATACAATCAGGTGATTTTTTTGATTGAAATCTGGGTGACGTCAGCATACTTTTTATACTTTTATACTTTCTTATGAAATGGCCACCATACTATGTAGGTATTTTAAGCCAAGTATGAATGGAGATGAGTGTAGGATGAGTGGCGTGATCTTATGACGGGAATCGCACACCCACGTATTTTCCTTCCTTCCACCATGGTAGTCCTCACTGTGTCATGCTGGCATCTAAATTACCTTTGTAACTTATTTGATATTTTTTATTAATGCCGCCTGAGTTTTTATGTACTGTATTTATCTATGACTTGTGTTTTTGCAGCATGTAATCCACTTTTTGACGTGCCCATATGAATGTATATGTGTCTACTGGAATGAAATATTGATTCTTGATTCTATGCAAGGCCCCACTAGAAAAAATAGTGGGGCCCTCCCACCATGAGTGGGGCCTTGTTCAATGTTGTTCAATGGTACTTGCAAAACAAGAAAAGAACATTACCATAATTTCTGTCATCATGTAAAAGCTTCATAGTATGTTTTGCCATTGCATACTTCTTACTGCAAATAAAAACAGCTGGTAAGTTAAACTTGAAAACATCATGCCGTCGCCGTCAGTCAGTAGATTAGTGGGTGGAACTGGAACTTGGAACTCTTGTCTTGGAACTGGTAGGGTAGTAAAACTAAACAGACGATGTATGATGGAAGTAAAATTAACAAACTAAATTAAAATGACTCAACGAAACGAGCCAAAAAACATCATCCAATCCAACTCCAGGGCCGGAATTGATATTATTGAGAAATTTAAGATAAAAGATACTGATTAGTGATTGATTACCATTATAGTGACTAGTGAGTGATTATTGACTTTGATAGTGATTACTGACTACTTAGCTGACATCTACTCCTGCTGTAAACTGTCTTAATTTATTAAGAATTATTATGTAGGGCCTAGGTAGTGAGTGTTGTAGTTTCAAGCAATTTCTTTCAACAATAACAGTTTAATACATTTGTATGAAAATGAAGGAAGGTAATGTATGAGTAGAGCCTAGTTTAGTGTTCTTATCTTAATGATTGAAGGTTGTTTATAAGTTAGGAGTACATTTATATTTTATACTCAGGTGATGCCAAGTCTCAATTCACACTTAAGTTTAGATAGGCTAGTGATGGAATAACCTAATGGTAGTGATGGGATAACCGAATGGTTTCCATGACCAAATAATCAATCAGTTATTTTTTGCGTCAATCGGTTATTTTTAGTTAAATGAATCACCAAATCAATTTTAGTCATTATTCACTGTCACAAAACACAACTAATTTTAATCTTATGGGAAACTGCATGGCATTTAGTCTTTTAGGCCTAGCGTCAATCGGTGATTTTTAGTCGAACGAATCGCCAAATCAATTTTAGTTTCCTGACGATGTGACAAACTAAATCAACTAAAATAACTAAATCACCGAATCGCTCGGTAAGACTAATTTAACCGAACCAGGATAAAATAACCGAATTAGTCTATTCAGCATCAATAACCGATTGATTCGGTTATTTTCATTCGGTGATTCCCACCACTTAGAAGCATCGGTCCAATATAGTTGCAGATCTAAAGTAAACGTCCAAATCCCCAAATGTTCTTGGCTAAAAAGGCTGAACTCTCTTCTGTGGTTCGACAATTTGTTTAATCTGTGTAATTAGGCCTAATTGCCCCTATTTTGGTATAGAGCCTTTAAATAAGTTAATTAAAAGGGTATGAAATCACCAGATTCCATCTATGATCCTAAATTGGGTAGATTACCATATCTGTTGGCACAAAGAACGGAATGAAAATATTGATTGATATCGATTATTCGATATATCGTTTGGTTAGTTCTTCTACTTAAGGTTAACCTTAACCTAACCAACCAAACGATATAACTTATCAAATGAAACAATCGAATAACCAATATTTTCATTCGGTTGTTTGTGCCAACAGATATGGAAGTCTACCCCCTAAATTTTGCAGTGAGCGGCTACCAGTTTCGAGGTTATAACCTCATCTTCAGGCTCTTGGTATTCATCTTGCGAGCTTGTTGAGTTTTGAAAAACACACTAAGACATTAAACATTTAAATAGCCTAAATAAACACTGAGTTACCGGAACACAGATTTAGGGACGATTAATATAAACATTAGTAATGAGAGTCAACATGAAACTTGGATGATGACACTATTTTAATGTTCAAGAAGTGATCCTGGGCCAAAGAACATCATTATAAATAAGTTAGATAGGCCTAACTTAGTATACCATGTTAATTATCAGATTCAAAAATTCAAAGATTTTATTAACTTAGGCCACTAAGTTTGTACAATAGGCTTCGTCAAAGTACAATAGGCTATAAATGCATTAAAACTAGGTAAATATAAAAAGGCAACAAACCAAACAAAACTGCAAGTCCAAACAGCAAACCATGCAAAGGTAAATAAACTAGGCCTACATGATTTTTCAACCTTCATCTGTGTTACAAGTACCCTTTGGATCCAGTTCCACAGAGAACCTATCATATAAACGAATTAAATGTTTAGAGACAGAGACAGAAAATCTCTATTCAAAATCTTAGAAATTTGAAAGGCGAATACAATATTAGGCCTAGCATATAAGTTACAATAAGGTAAAATGTCAAATAGGCCCTTACAATGAAAATTCTGCCAGTCCATATTTTTTTCTATATTGTAGATACTTGATACTTACTTACTTGATACTTTATACTTGAAGTCTTCATCTTTGATAATATGCTCTACCAATGAGCCAGGACTTAATTTTGGTCTTGAAACTATTGTCATCCAGGCATTTAACTCCTGCTGGCAGCCTATTGAACATCTTGTGGGCCAGGAGGGGGAAACAGTCCTTTTTTTTGTGAGTCTGCAGTACGGGAGGTTTAATCTGATGCCATGTTGAAGATTCAGGCCATGGATCTCCGCTCTTGTACAAAAGGTGTTTATGTTTACCTTAACGTTTAGTAGGCTTACGAAAATATAGTTGCTGTACACAGTGAGGATTCCCAGTTGCCGAAAAATTGGCCTGCAGTGGTCTAGATAGTCGGCCGACGACACTACCCTAACAGCTTTTTTCTGGAGAAGGAGGATGGCATCACAACTAGACACATGGCCCCACAGCTGCAGGCCATAGCTAAGATGGCTATGAAAGAGCCCATGATAGATTATGGTTAGATGTTCCTTTAACAAAAGTGGCTTAAGCCTACGCAGCAGGTGCACAACTCTTGACAGCTTCTTGCAGACATTTTCTGTATGCTCGTTCCACATTAGTCTTGAGTCGAGTTGGAAGCCCAATAGTTTCACCGTCTCAGGCTGGCAACCCTGGCTGAGGCTGCATGTCATAGTTTGGGTTTTTTCAGCATTGAGGCTTAGCCTATTAACTTCAAACCAGGCCTTTGCCTTGTTGAAAATTTCATTTGCCCTCAGACTTGCATCTTCTGGTGTCTTACCCCTTGAGCATATGGTGGTGTCATCTGCAAAGAGCAGTATATCACCTAGCAAACTTAAGTCATTTATCGCAATGATAAAGAGCACTGGACCCATGACAGAGCCCTGTGGGACACCATGACTCACTGGAAGGGGGGAAGATGAGGCTCCTCGTATTGAGACTATCTGCTGACGGTCTTGGAGATAGGAGTACAACAGATGTAGGACTGGACCTTGGACACCATATTTCTCCAATTTTTGTAATAGAACTTTGTGAGGAACACATTCAAATGCCTTACTTAAATCGGCAAGAATAAGGGATACTGAACCTCTTTCCTCAAATGTGTCCAAAATATTAGAGACCAGTTTTAACACGGCAGTCAATGTTGATTTCTTCTCCCTGAATCCATGTTGTGCTTCTGCGAATAGCTTGTTCCTCTCAAAGTGGGACACCAACTGGTCCTTCATAATAGTCTCAAACACTTTGGCCAGTGCTGAAATAATAGAGATAGGTCTGTAGCTTGACATTAGATGAGGGTCTCCCTTCTTAAATATTGGTACAGTTTGTGCAGTCTTGAGGGCACGAGGGAACACCCCTTGTTCAAAACAGGCATTAATTACAACTGAAAGTGGGTAGGCTATCACATCAGCAATATACTTGAGTACAATTACATTCATGCCATATACATCCGGACTATGTGAGTTCTTGAAGGATTTGATAACCTTCAATACATGAGTTGGGCTAACATGTCTCCATCTGGTGAACTGACTATTTATATTAAAGGCCTCTCCAAAGTTCAGATTGTCATTACTTTCAACTAATGGTACAAGTCTGCTGTAGGTGTAACAAGAGATGGACTGTACTCTGCATACCTAAGAGCCAAGAAATTTTACAGGCAGCAAGTTGACCTTACCAAAAGGCAGGCTAACATCCAGAAAATCCAACAGGCTCCAAACCAATGTAAGGCAGCTTGGGATTTGGTTAACAGGACTAGTAAGGCCAGCCCTATTATGAAGTGCACTGAGAGTCCGGATTCCTTCAACCGGTTTATCCTGGGAGAAGTTGATCGAATTGTTTTTTTTAGAATGGCACCTTGTAGAACCAACGAGCGAGGCAAGCTTTCAAAGTTTTAGGGTTTTCATCTTTCAGCTCTTTTGGCTGAAGAATCTTGACCCGGTATAACTTAGGCCTAGGTAGGCTTACGTTTCAAGAGTCCAAGGAAATTAGCAAGGAGGTTGTAGTTCATTCTATTTCTTGTTGCATAGCTAAGTATGTACCTAATTCTTCATGCCGCTTGGGATTCCTTGTCAGCGCCAAAACTATGTTAATCAGTCTTCATAACAGAAAGTATTGTTTTGGCAGTAAGTTAAGTACCGGTAGCTCATTATCTTTGAAGAAGCCTCTACAACTTTCCAGCCAGTCTGCATCATACATGATTGTTAGAGCTTTTTTTCTGCAGAATCAATACCTACACTTTCCAAGAGACTTATGAGACGCAGAACCCAAACTGCTATTCCCTATCGTAGATGGCTTTCAAATAGGCCTAGTGCGTGACACGTCACAAGCACAGCCCCTTGAGTGCAGACGCTCTTAATTCTCAGAGCATATAGAGCGCTACTAAGCTGTCGACACAGGTGGTCTTGCCAAGAGAGTCGTTGGTCAATAACTATACCTAGGTGTTAAGTACACTCAACTGCTAGTAAAACTTTCAGATACATTTTCTCTTTTGTTTCCAAAGGTTAGTAGGAAGGTCTTAGATTCTACTACAGTATACCAAAAAGCTACAAAAGTCCTCATTTCCAGAATTTCAGCAGATAAATATATTGTCTCACAATATATTACTGTTTACGTGGTGCTGAGGCCTTTTTAGGACCAAGACTCAACTTGAACGTTCTAAAATCATTTTAAAATTATTCTATAGATACATTAAGTTAGTCTACACCTTTCTTAAATGAATTTTTTTGTCGTTGAGCACTCCTCTTATTACTAATTAAATAACTTAAGTAATAAGCAATATCCCCAACTCGCTAGGGGACCAGAGGGAAATCGGGGTTTTGGGTGAGGAAGACATCAAAAGTGTTTAATCATTTGGAGAAAAGACTGACTTAGTTAGACAGGTAATTTCCTGGAAATAATTAGTTGGGAGGAATGGGTATAATTAGGGAAATTAACTTAATCAATACCAACCTCAACATTGGTTGTTGTGGTACAACCGTGTCGCTTGGTTTGTTGGAGAGTTGCTATTGGTTTATGGTGGTGACTACTGATGTGGAACAGAGACAGGTCTATTAAATAACGTAGCCTAGGTTATCTGCAGAACTCACATCCTGTACTTTTCCAACAGCTCCTCATTAAAAAATAAAACAGCCAAACAAGTCATCTCACTCCATTCTTCTCAATGACCATAAATTTAAAATCTATTTGAAATAGCCTAGTTTTGGGCAAAGAAATTTTAAAATATTATTTTATTTTGGTTTTAGTTATTTCTGTGAAACACTAAGATCCAATAAGTTAATTATCATTCGCTTGTAGTTTCAGCTTTAATAGTAAAGCCCAGGTAGACCTAATGTAAGAGATTGTGATATCTATGTTTGTAAAACTTTTGATATCATACTCAATTAGATTATTGAACATTAGAAGTACCTAATATCTATATTGGATAATCAGACTTAAACCAACCAAAACCCATACTTTCCATTTTCATTGTAACAATACACGATACGATAGAGTCGATATCAAAGTTTTATAGATTATCTTATAGATTACAAAAGCTTATAGGCCTATAGATTTTGTTTTGACTTATGACTACGTTTGCTTCAGCTAAAACAGCAGTTAAAACTCATGCTGGCAAGGAGAATGAACCAGTTGAAAACACAGCAAGGAAGAAAACAAAAGAAGAAAAACCCCCTACGAAGGTTTGTGAAACTTGCTCAGTAATCTTTTGATGTGCACTATGTTTGACTGCTGATTGATACAACTAGATATTTCATCTCAATGTTAAAGTTGTCGCCAGTTTTCAATCAAAATTATCGTAATTGATGTGAGTCACCGACATATTGAGATGCCTTGTTTGAAGTTCATTGTTGGTGATGGTGAGTTAATGTTGTTCAAAGGTTTATTGTGGACATTTTCCATCACGATGATAAAAAACAATACCTACACAACGTTTCAGATTCCAGACCCCGAAACGATGTGTATTGTTTTTTACCATCGTGATGGAAAATGTCCGCAATAAACCTTTGATCAATATTGAGTCTAACTGATGCAATGACTTATTGTGAGCTATGAGTTAGCAACTGTTAATGACCTATAGCTTTGTTGGCACCAAAAAAAGGTAGAAAATTGAATTTATTTTGGACACTAGCACATTAGCCTACACTAGCACATTGTGTTTAGTCATAACATTCTGTAATCGGCTCACACAGTTATGTTCTTTTTAAGAAATAATTAGCGACAGCTGCAGTGTTTCCATATGATGGATTTTCATCCAGAAAACAGAATTTTTAGACCATGAGCGGGATTCAAACAGGATTTTTAGCCCTGCCTATATTTTTCTTTTTTACTGATTTTTAGATGAAAGCTATTCTCAATTATTTGAATAATTGCAGTCTAGTACTAGAGCAAGGTTTAAAGGGCTATTTTATCATGATACCTCAAAAAGAACACTCGGGATGGATAGAGATTTTTTACAAGATTTTTGCGGGACAAAATGTGATTTTTCATTACACTAATTACAGGTAATAGCAACTTCCCTATAGGGAAATTCGGTAACAGAGTTTTCTCTGCCCGAAGAGCTGGATTTTTGTTTGGGTCATGTGAATAGGCTACACTAAAAGCTAGTACACATAGATGGGATATTTCTACTTCAGTATCCAATTGTCAATGGCAAAACAAACTTGTGACTAATTTGTTGTTTTAAATATTAAATAATGTAGCCTAATGATGTTTCACAATATATAATGCAGATGGCTAATTGTGAAAAGTATAAAGTTGCACTAGTAATTAGTTATTTAATGGTTCTAATTCAAATATTTATGTTCAGTATGCTCCCCCTTTTTGCTCAGGTCATAGTTCGCAGACTGCCCCCCTCTATGACGGAAGAGCAGTTTAAGGAACAAGTATCGCCAATGCCTGATCATGATTACTTCTACTTTGTGGCTGCAGATATGTCACTGATGCCTAATGCATTCTCTCGAGCTTATATCAACTTTATTGATCAAAATGATCTGTTCATATTCACTGAGAAGTTTGACGGATATGTCTTTCTCGATAACAAAGGTGAGGCGACTTATTATGATTTATTATGATATGATTATGATTTATTTAGGTGATGTATTATTTATGGTATCATCTCAGTCATTCAACACTCGTAACATTCATATTAAAATATATGCAGCCATTCTATAAAATATTTCAGTGTCGTAGGAACCGATTCTACAGTCTAACCTTGATATAACGAACCTCAATGTAACGAATTCCTTGATATAACGAATTTTTTTTAATCCCCTAGAACTCTCCATAAGAGACTATGTATATTTTACCTCTACATAACGAACAAACCATAGCAACGACCTTGATTTAACGAATTTTTTGTGATTTCGGCTTAAATAAGACACCTCAATATAACGAATTTATCATTGTCAGAACCTCTACATTGCGAATTTAACCTCTGCATAACGAATTGTCTACGTATTTCCCTTGATATAACAAATCCCCCACCCCAGTATTGTTTTTGGAAAATCTGTTTCTTTATCAAATGAAATGGAAAGATGACGTCATCGCTGCTCTAACATTCGTCTGCTCCGTTTTACGCATCTCTCTGTCTGCTGTTGCTGCGCACGCAATGTTGCAACTGAGAACTGATTTCATTCACTGAGGACTGATGACGACGCAATCTGTAGTAAGCTGTGATTGGGTGATAAGTAAATATGGTGAATTGTACAATTTTTGGATATAGAGAAATCTAAGAAAGAATATAAAAACAAAAGCAAAGAGAAAGAATAGCAAAATCGTTATTTTAACATTCCTTAATTTACGAGTGTTTTTATTATCTTTAAGTCGGCTATGAATATGCACTTTATAATGAATTATCTAATAATATATTGTTTTCAACACAATTTGTTTTAAATAGCAACATCAATGCTATAGTTAATGATTATTATTGACATTGCTCTGTTGTGATAAATCAGTACTGTACTGTAAGTAGCCTACCGGCCTACCACGGAGCAGTCAGTATCTTACAAAACTTTCTACTGTTTTGTTTTGTTTTTTTTACATAGTTTATGACTACGCAATGTAGTGTTTGGCTAGGTTTTAGGAGGGTTAGAACAAGCTGTGATTTTAAACTTACAGTTTTTAACCTGTACCATAGATAAAACATTAGTCTATGCCTGTACCAAGGTCAATGCCATTGTCATGATTGCGCAATATTCAAGATCCCTCACCTTTATTATGCCGGATAATTTAGGTTATACCATTGACTATTGGATACAGAAGGTTCTACTGTACAATGAACACTGTACTGTAAAGTATTGTAGCCTATGCTACTTTAATTGTGTTTTAATGAGGTCAAATACCGGCCTATATTGACCGACGCTGGTTCTGAACCTCAACTTAGCGAAATTCCTGCAAACCTAACCTCTATATATAACGAACCTCATTTTAACGAAATCCTTGATATAACGAATATTCAGTTCGGTCCCTTCCGATTCGTTATACTGAGGTTGGACTGTATTTTGTTTTATTTTATTGTTTATTAGCTTAAAGTTAATTTTTTAATGTTATCTTACTGTAGTAAGTTACAGTACTGAAGTTGTAATGTTTGACATGTAGACTTATATTAAATTTTTATTATTATTTTAAATATGGGAAGACTGTGTTTCTGTAAAAAAAATTGGCTTTTGTTTTGTTTGGGTTGTTCAAAATTCAAGTTAATTTAGGTTGATAAAAATTCCCTAACACATCAAAATTCTTTTAAATATGTCACCTTTTAACAAATTTATGAAAAAAAAGGTAAACCACAATCTGCAGTGTAGACTTACTCAATGAGACAACGGCCATTTGGGAGTCTTTATATATTAATCATTCTAACGGCAATATAGTAGACTCTCAGTAATCCTGATGTATAGAGCCGTGAAACTGACGGATTATTGAAAATGCAGAATTACTGAAATGTCATCAATAATAACACTTGAATGCACAAAACAAGTGTTTTATTGTACCAAAACAATTATCATAAGTACTAATTTAATACGCAAGCAGATATTTTGTGACAATTATTCCTCCGAAACTACTGAACCGATTGTCATGTTTTTGGTGTCATTGGAAAGAGCGTAACATGAAGATGTGCAGGAAACTTTCCTTTTAGGGAAATAATTAGAGAGTGAGGCCCTGGGGCCCTTTAAGGTTTCGTATTTCTCCATAAGATTAACATGAGAAACAAACATTGTTATAAAACTCCAGCTGTTTTCAGAAATTAAAAATGAGAAGAAGAACTTATGTTAATTGTAAACAGTCAATAAGTTTGCTAATTTAACAGTTCGCTACAAACACTGACTTGGTTGAAATTAAATATTTACTATTTGAATTTAGATTGGCGTAAATATTACAATAGAAAAAAGCAAAAGACCTTGATAAATTGATATACTAAAAAGAAAACTGAATTAACACTGTGCTGCATTTCTTAGTAATCATTGAAGGAGCCGATTTGCAAACTATGGAAACATAGGAAAGTCATAGAACACCACCAAGGAGAAGAAATAGAAATAATCGTTATTATGGACAACCTAATGCAGCTATAAGTAAGGCTATTTGTAGAAAACACTAAAAAACAAGATCAGCTTTTGAAAAATTATAAGATATTTTCAAGAAATGCTGATTATATCGATCTGTTATGTACATCTCGAGTATCCATAATCTTTGAGTCGAATCTGTTAAAGTCATCAGAAATTATGACCATTATTTGTTTTAAAATAACGCCTGTAATACTTAGCAATTGCTCGAATTCGAGCAACAGGTACACCTGTAAGTAGTAATGTGTCGATTCTCAATACCACCGACACTTGGATATTGGTAACCAGAATCGATCGTCAAAAGTCGATACGATACCAATACACCCGACACGTGTAAGAAGTTTGCGCAGTCGGAAACCGCTATTGCCGCAATAGCGTATGACGATGATGACTGTGGGAGACAATGCTAATATATACACGGCTGCGAGGGATGATCTAAATTTGCCGCGATCGCAAAAGAGTTACTGCGGGAGATGTTCATGATTTTGCCACAATCGTACAAGATGATGATGACGTTTCCGTGGCTAAGGGAGTCGATAAGATGTATACACAGCTACAGGAGGTAATCAGAATTTTGCCGCGATTGCAGAAGACAATGATGTTTCTGTTACCGCAAAGCTCCTAAATACAGTCCCGGCCACGTAAAGAGAGAAAATGTCCAGGTAGACCCGGTCAGGCCTAATCCGCTGATGTCAAAACATAGCTATTGTTTTGAAACCGAGGGGGCGCGCTACCCCATCCCAGCGGTCATTGCTACTGCCTCCCTTTAATTCTTAGAAATAACTCGGGCCAGTACAAATTCTATAAATTGAACGGGTGATCGCCTATAATTAAGTGACAGGTCATTTTATTCACAAAGTGAAGACGAATATCACAAAATTTGAATCGCAATTCTACGTCGCTTCGTTGATTGGCTAGTCGATGTTGAGAAGCAGCAGGCAATGACCGCTGAGGTAGCAATGACCGCTGGGATGGGGTAGCGCGCCCCTTCGGTTTCAAAACAATAGCTATGTTTTGACAACAGCGGATTAGGCCTGACCGGGTCTACCTGGACATTTTCTCTCTTTACGTGGCCGGGACTGTACAGTCACACTAGACACTGTGAATTAAACTGTTACACAATAACATGTTTCCTTGAATTCCCCACCTTACCCGCCAAAAGACACCGGATTACTGTAGTAGGGCATTGCCGGATTATAGAGAATCTACTGTACACCAATATACATTTAGATCCATGAATAACTTGGAGTTGTAGATGTAGTAGCTGTAAAATGTTCGTAGGAGAATAACTCATTTTTTATGTTTGATTATTTTATAAAATTTTAAGGTTTAGTGGACTGATCTGGTTGCATATCTAAGGAGTGTCAATTTTGTCATGTTTTTTTTTTATATTTGTTATTTATTGTGCCTGCCACGCCAGTAGCATTTGTTTACATATTTAAAGGAACAGTTCAAACCCAGGGCTTGTTGCAATCTAACGTCGACCTGTTGCTAGAAAGTATAATTAATTATAATTAATTGATAGCCTGATAAATGGTATCTGGTTCGGGTAACAATCTCGCTTTGAACTAAACCAGCGACCTTCAGATTTTGAGGCGGGTACTATAACCACTCGGCTACCCAGAAAGTTAAGATTAAATATTTACACATTTATTGTCTTCTTTCTGTTAACAAATGTAATTTAGACTTTGTCTGAGAATTAGACAACACACTAGGCTGGTTTTCACTGCTTATATCTCTCTTGATGATATTTAATAGTTATTAGTCGCTTAATTATTCATCAGTGGTAAATTTAAATTTCAGGTGGTGAATTCCCAGCTGTTGTTGAGTTTGCTCCGTTTCAACGTATACCAAAAAACCGACCTACTCGGAAGAAAGACTCGAAGGTGGGCACAATCGAAGCTGATCCCGTTTACATTGCTTTCAAAGAGAGGCTGGAAACAGAAAACTTAGAGAACAAAACTGCAAACAATGTCTCAAAACAACATTTCTTTGAAACATCGAGTAAGTTTGTGTAAAAATGAAAAATACTTCTTGTGTTAAACTTGAAATGGTGTTGGATGGATATTTCAATCTGAATTAGGCCTAGATAAAAAAGTAGTTTTTATTGCAATTCATGCAAAATGTAGTAAAATATAACATAGGCCTATCGCTTTACGAATATCCGTTCCTTAATTAGTCAAGCATTTACTTCTTACCTAGTTAATTATTTGCCACAAATTTTCTAAACCATAAAAAAGTCTCATAGTTGCTTTTAGCCATTTATATTTTAGCGAATTTCCCTATAGGGAAGTAGCTATTACCGTAGGTCTCATGGTAAGACTTAGGCCCGGGACCGATTTACTTTTTTATTTTAATGTCCCCAGAGGCCAAAAACACCATTCGTTCAAATTTTTATATATGTATATATATATATATATATATATATAGGTATATATATAGATTTATATATATATGTGTCCGTGAACACGATAACTTGAGTAATTTTTATCCGTTTTTGATGAAATTTGGTTTGTAGGTGTAAGGCGGGATAAACTTGAATGAGTTCGCGATCCAGCATGATTGGACCATGGGAACAGGGTTTTATGGGGGGTTTTATGGGGTAAAAATTGGTTTTTCTCACTTCTTACCCTCAAAACACAAAATTTCCCAATTTTTCTCCAAACCTTCTTAAAGAGCTTAAAAAAACAAACAATTCAGTATATCAAAGTGTTTTTGTACGATTATTGGTTACGGAGAAAACTAAAAAAATGGTAAATGTAAAATTCCCATGTTATTCTTATGGAGAATATTGTAAAATGTTGTAGTTTGCTTGTTTATGGATATATTTTGATCAAACTTGGCAAATTTATTTATTTTATAGTAAGCTATCAATATTTTACTAAAAACACACTACTTTATTAGTTTCCTTGTAGCAGCAAACCTAGGTACTCGTTAAACCTAATGTTATTTAAATAGATCAATTGAAAATCAATTCGGCCAAATGGAAATTCGCTTAGACGGCAGGTTCGCTGCGGCGGGGGTATTTAATTATTTAGCTGAAACGGTTTTTTCTGTTTTCTACTATAATTTGTAATGCTATTCCTGCAATGGTGATTCCTTTGGTTGTTATAATGTATTTTCCAATTTTTAAAATGTTTGGTTTAAGAAAAATAAGTAGGCCTTGGCGTAAATGTTTCAATTTACATATTGTTGGATATAAAAGGGTTTCTCAACAATTATTATCTAGCTGGGTTTTAAATATATTTTCTAGACCTGGTTATTATAAATATGTCACATTATGTTTAATCAGAATATACGTTTACAATTTTAATATGATGTGGCAACTTGACTCTTTTGTTTGTGGCCTAGTAGTGTATTAAAACAAGTTTTATTAAAAAACTATTTTTAGCCATCTCTTCCATAAAGATAGGCCTAGTCTATTTACCAGTTTATTTATTTTTTTACTTGGATGTTTCATTTTTTTAGCTCTAGAGAAAAAAGAAGAGGTGAGCAATACTCCCCTGCTGGACTTCATAAGGAACAAGAGAGCTGAAAGACAGAGGATCAGGGATGAGAAGCGGGAGGAAAAGAGGAAAAAAGACATAGAAAGGAGGAAGGCCAAAGACGAGCAGAGGAAGGTAAAGAAGGAGGACGAGCCATCTGTTGTCAAAGTAAGTGTAACTTAATCAATGCCTAATTGTTAATTTATGATTTTAAATTTAGTTGCAAGCCAATGGTTTATTTTGCTTGGTAGATTCAATAACTAAATGCATTACTCTGTAAAAATTTGTTGATTCTGTCTGCTTTCTCAATGTCTTCCGATTCCCTAGTATCTCAATGGAAGGGAAGGTCCTGCTGATTTTTCAGCAGGAATACTTTTCCCTCTGTTTCCTCATATTCGACTATGACAGGACCAAGTCATGGTTAGAACGGGCAATGGATTGTGTATTGGGAGGTGCAAAAAAAAAATAAAAAAATATTTTTAACCCTTTGAGTGCCTCGGGTGAAACAATTTTTATTTGAGGTTTGCCAGGCCTGCATGTGGTATTTGCTTCTAGGAATGCCAGCCATTTCTCCACATTTACTTGTAGGTGGTAAAAAAAACACATTTACATTTAAATGTAGGTGTTTAGGAAAATCGTCATAAAATACTTATTTATTAACATTTTTGGCCTAAATTTGTTTTGTTTTGTGGATTATTAGATTGTGCATTGTAAAATACTAATTTTAGTTTTGGTTTCATGAGTTAAAATAAAATATTTTCATGGACAAGACAGAAATATAGTGCAGTTAATTCTCATTTTCAATATTAGAATTAAAATAACATAATTTAAAATTATTCAGTGACATTAAATTTTACATTCGTTTTATAGAGCATTAAAAACTAAGAGAAATCATGTATAACAATATTTATTTGTGTAACTAGTGAGCAAAGTGGCACTTTGCTGCACACGAGATAAATGTTCACGCACGAGCCGCAGGCTAATTGCGGAATTTTGCTCGAGTGCAGCAAAGGCCGTTTGTGCTCGTGTTACACATTATATTTTGACTACAGTCACTATAAAGCATATAAATAATTAGTCTTTCAAACGCTATATAACACGTTAGGTTAAACAGTTGAACCCAAGCGTTGAGAACGAAAATAGAATATAAACACCAAATTACAGGTTAAATCGTAGTATCAATAGTCAATCAGCTGATCATAGTAGCAGTATCTTTAAGTGTTGCCAACCTATTCCAAGTGTACAAGGATTACGTGCAAAACCACACTATTTTGTGTTGTCAGCCAAAGTATAAACCGTGCGACAAAGTATAAACTGTGCGACAAAGTAAGTAAATGCAGCAGTTAGCAGCTTTCTGTACTACCGGGTGTACCACGAAGGGGTTGAAACGTTTGATTTTATATTACGTGCCCATTCATGCTCCGAACTTTTTTAAACTTTACACAGTTTACAAAGTAGGTTCTAAAAATATTCTGGAATAATTTCAACTCCCTAACCTTAGTAGAAACAAAATGGTGGCATATTGACAAATTTACCAATGTGCTTTCTATAAAAACTACTTTCATGATTTATTATTAGTTATTTATTTATTAGTTATTTGATTTATTTTTAGTTTTTCATTAGGCTATGTTCTAGTTTTTTTATTTAAAAATCATATTGCCCTGGAAAGTAACAATACAAATATTTTATAAAACCAAAAATACCTTTTTTAGTGTTTTTAAAGTAACGTTTTTCAATATGCCGCCATTTTGTTTCTACTAAGGTTAGTGAGTTGAAATTTTTCCAGAATATTTTTGAACCTACTTTGTAAACTGTGTAAAGTTTCAAAAAGTTCGGTGCATGAATAGGCGTGTAATATAAAATCAAACGTTTAAACCCCTTTGTGGGACACCCTATATAATCAGTGCAAGGTAGCCAACTTTGTCTGGTGGCTGTGGGAAAAATATATTTATTATATATAGGCTATATACAAAATATATGCAACATCTATTACAAAGAGGTCTCGAAAGATTTTGGATTCTAGGACCATAACCTACAATTCTATAACGAAAACAACTCGTAAACAACATTTACTAGAACGTAAACAGTCTAAACAACAACACACGAACCAGCTGGGTAAAGCCGTCTACTATTGCGTAATGGATTTTGATTGGTTGACCACATTTTTCAGCTCCATTGTACAGTAAAAGAGCAAAATAGTTGTTGCCAACCTCCTTCTGTCACATTTGGTGTGATTAGCAGCCAGCTTTATTGAAATGTGATACTGTATGAAGTGATTTTCTGAGCGTCTCGCTCCAAGACACCGGCATTTCTCGCGCAATATCTAACGTCTGACACTCAAACTACGACAATAGTGCGTCTCGACACTGTAAGGGTTAAAGTAACAATGAATAGGCCACATATAAAATTATGAAATAATCTTTAGCAAAAAATGTGAGTTATGTAACTTACTGTACTTAAAAAGTGATCCTTAAATATGATAAATTTATCATTGTCATTAGAATTCATTTCCTAATACTGGAACGTTAGTTATTAATAAATAATAATAATATTACCTTCCGTTCCAAATGAACGGAAGAATTTAATATTATTATTATTTATTATCATTGTCTCCTCCTATCATGGAAAAATCCTTGAACAATCCCTTGGTCATGGAAACATTATCATTGCCTTCTGTGATTGTACAGAACCATGAACATCTCCCGCCGCGGTTAAGTAATCATCGTCATCATCCGTGATCACAGAAAAATCCAGGACAAATAACGTGGTCATGGAAAAATTATCAATGTCTTTTAACATTTCCCGCAGCCATTTAATCATCATCATCATCATCTCCGGACCTCCCGCGATCATTAAACATCTTCCGCATTAGCCCCCCTTCCCATTGATTTCAGAAATATAAACCATTGAGCCTTGTAAAGCTAAAGTTAACTGTGTACAAGACAATATAGGGCCTATATCTTAATTTAATGTTGTCAAATGGCAGCTTTTTTACCCATAATCCAATTTACATATTTATTTTTTAAGTACACGAAAAAGGAGGACCCTATCTCACTTATTTAAAATGTTGTAAATCTTATTAGATCTTTGTAGACTACCGAATTGAAACAAGTTTTTTTGTTTTTTATTTCCATACATTGTGCATAGATCTATTACCTCAAAGCCACCCAGGCAAAATAATCTGTAAGCACAGCTCTATTGTGATCATTTCCATTGATCTCGACGTCGTTCACGTCCATGACCATCCCCAGTGATCATGATTATATATCTTTATTGTTACAATTTGCCAAAACAAAAATGGCCTAGATTGGCCTGTTGCCGATTGTGAATTTTCAATCCCAAAACTTTGCAGACAGTTTCTTGAAAGGCAATAGTAGAATGAGATTACTGACTCAAAAAATATTCTATTAAAACTTTTCAGAAATTTAGGGACAATGATTTATTAAATATTTTAGTTTTGAACATAGACATACCTAATTTGTAGATATAAAACACATTTATATTTGAATCTGTGGCCCATTTCGTCTAACTTGGTGGTTACTGGTGCTCACCCGCCCACCAGGATAGTAAATAAACACTATCAGCAATCTGACACATACTTTCTCTCATTAGCTTATCAAAAACCTTTATCATGGGTATGCAATGAGAGTATAGCTGCGCGCGCACTACGGCGGCACGGCAATTTTTAAAAGTTAATAACATTGAATGTCATATGAGTGCGCCCACTACGGTGGTACGGCCGGCAACGGACGTTCGGCAGCTTCCGCCGTTTGTTAAAAAGTCCGGGAGACAGAACTCCAGGACATTTCCGAGCTGCCGTGACGCCCGTACCGCCCGTACCGACCGGGAGCACTGCACACCGACCGGGCGGGCGGCACCGGACATCCGCCATTCTCAACTGATCTCTGTCAAAATAGCAGTGTTTTCGTGTGTTGTAAACATAGATGTTAGTAAGTTGATTTTTCTTGTTGAGAATATACCCGAAGCTGTACAGCATGCGACATCCGGAATATTTTAATAACATCCGGCGTGACGATATATGGGCAGAAATATTATCTATTATGGTAAGTTTTACACATAATCCTTCTACAAGATCAGGAAACAAGGTGTGGAGTGGAACTCTCCAAAACTTAGCCTTTTCCTGTTTATGTGGTGTATCTAAAATTTTTGCTTGCACCTTCTTGTCTCCTCTTCCTTTGCTATAATTAAACCTACTATCACCACTTTATCTACATCCATCTTTACTCACAATTTTTAGATCGCAGACTGTCAGCTGTCCTTAATTGCGGATATGCGGATGTCCCATCCCGTCCGTCCGTGCCGTGCCGCCCTAGTGCGCGCACCCCCTCTTAAAAATGCCGTCCGTGCCGTGCCGCTGTAGTGCGCGCGTAGCTTAACTATGATATCTAAAAGGTAAAATCACAAAAGTTGCCATAACTTTTGAACCGTTTTTTTACAGGTATGAAGTATTTAGGGTTACACTGTTTTGTTAAGAATTATAAGGACCATAACAGGCAAATTTCAATCAGAACCGGTTTAAAAAAAATACATTTTCCGTTTTTCTTGGGTTTTTATGTGAAAATAAATAATATGTTACCGTACAATAACTTTTGAACCAAAAATTTTAAAGGAATGGAAGTTCTACAATTTTGTACAGAATTTAAAGGGTTACAACATACTAAATCTTTATAAAAATTGTTCAGGCCATTTTCAAGACAATTTGGTTTTTGCATTATTTTATGGGTTTCTATGGGAAAATAACCATTATAGATAAAAACAAAGAAAATGCCTGCAGATGCCATGGATTAGTACCTACATAAAAAATTTCATCAAAATAGGACAACAGGTGTAGTCTGTAGCTCTATACACATCCACACATACAGACATAACTTTGAAAACCACTTTTTTGGGTTCAGGGGGACCCAAAACGGATATATCCACTCAAAACTCACACTCAAAAATTTGTTTGAAAAAAAAAAATCTTTCTCCATAATAGGCTACTATGTATAGAGGGAGAAGGTAAAAAACACAATTTTTGGGATCGAGTTAACGTCCTGTGTTTACGTTTGATTCCTTCCTGCAATTCAACCATTCGACCCACCAAAGTTACTCCTGCACGTAGGCCTACCTTGTGAACCGCTGGACTATGTCATTATTAGACTAACTTAAGTATAATGTTACACAAAATTAAACTTATATTCACTCAAAAGAATGAATTGGACAACTGAAGTAAATTGAACAGAAAATAAATAACTTAAAAACAATCCTAAATGTACTACCTTATCATATCAGAGGCATCAGACCATGTCATAACCTGTGATGGATAAAGCATAAAACATAGCTGATCATTTGAGTGTACAGGTATCTCGAAAGATCAAATATTAAAAATTATATGAAGCTATGAAGGAGTACAAATTTTCTTTAAACAATTGTGTAAGATTCATTGAAAGCTTTCGTAGATACCATAGCTTCTTACACCATTGGGGAGTCCAGTGTTTTTGTTACCTGTTGAAACCCATTCTTAGATTTAGTTTGATATCTTTTAATAGCTTGGACCTCTGTCTGGAATATAATCAAACGGTTTAGTATAATACGTTCTAAAATCTAGACTTAGGTGGCAGACAGCTGATTTGAGGTATAGAATTCCTCTCCTTCCAAAGGCGTCTCTGTGTATCTAAGTTCATTTAAATCAGTTAATAGTCGTATTTGATATGAATAAACTTGGAACAATACCCAAAATAATTCCTTCTATTATAAACACCTTTAGGAATCTAAATAATCCTATACAAATCAGGGAAAGTTGTCTAATGCTTTCCTCTTTTCACAGACCCTTCCATCAACTCCTGTCAATCCAAATCCTAAAACCAAAGAAGCTTCACTAGATGATAAGGAAAAAAGTGAATCTCCATCCTGTGTCAAAGCAGAGAACCCGAACTCAACAGCTGTTACTGAAACAACTGAGCCATCTAAAGAAAAACACTTTGAACAAGTTGATAAAAAGGTTACAAAAATAATGGAAAATTTTTACGAAGCCATCAGTGGAACGAATAAGGATACATCTAAGCCTAACAATATCGGAAATTTGCCTAGTTTCAGAAAACATGAAGATATTGAAAGTGAAATGTTGAAAAACCGTGAAAAGAAGACTTATGAATCAAGAGAATCAACAGTGTTTTTGCAACAAGCAACTTCACCGTCTAAATTAAAGTTTACGAAAATGAGTAATAGGCCAGCTGTTTGTGAGTCTCGAGGGAGATTACAGATGAATGTGCCGAGAAAAGTGATGTTCACTCGCAATCACAGTGATGTTGTAATGACACCTGTCAGGGTGAACAAAGTGGGTCCGCCAGATTGTCAGGGATTTGTTAGAGAATGTGAGATCATAAGACCTACGAGATCAGTGAGAATGAGGAATGATGGCCCCTCTGAATGTCAAGTTGTTAGACATGTTAGGCCAATCAGAATAAACATACCTTTGATTCCAGGAAACTACAAACCCTCTGTAGGGAAACCATTTGAAGTAAGAACCCCTCTTTTGATGGGTGTTCCCACAAATCAGAACAGTAGAAATGAATCATATCAAAATACTACCTCCAATCAGAAATCAAGGAATAATGATATAGAACACTCTCATGTTCAAAATGCTAAATTCAGTGAACGTTCTAAGGAAAACTCTACAAAAGACTTGGAAGCCAAAACGTTTGCAGAGAAATCAGAGATGTTGAAGAAGAATTTGGAAAAGGTTGTTGCAAATGTTTTAGACAATACAAAAGTGAGTAGTCCGAAAGAGATAGATAAACCAAAAACTTTTGTTAGACGATATTCTGGGATCGGAGACGTATGTCGTGGGAGAGGTTATAACACTCCGAACTATTATCTTCCGCCTAGAGCTTATGGGTTTGGTATGGTTGACAACAACGCTAAGGATAAAAGTAACACGGCTAGACCTTTATCTTCTTTTGCTGGAAAAACACCAGGAAAGAAGTCACTGCCACCTTTTTCTAAGAAATCTTTGTATTTGTCTAAATCTGATGGAGACATTGATAAACCTGAAACTGTTAGCAGAGTTGGGGGTTCTGAAGAGAGTGTGAGAAAATCTCCGCAAACATTTGTCCTTAAAAGACCTTCTGGCTCTCCAGCAGTGGTTTCAATAGTTGGAAACAAAAAATAGTTAAATTGATGTTTTTAATTTTGAACGCTCAATTGACCAAATTGATACAATTATGATGTTTGAATTCATATATTTTTTGTTGAATCACGCATTAACATTTCAAATTACTAGATATCAGTTAAGTTCATACCTGTTTGTAATTCACTCATGTTGGTTAGCAGTGAATGTGTAGTGGCTATTTGTTACGGTTCCAGGAAAATATATATTTTTGTTCTTAAATTGAACTGTCAGTTTGTTAGCTTAGAGGTATAAAAATATTCTATGGATAAACTAACAAACAAATACTGAGACAGCTGTGGATCTTTTATTGACAGACTTGATGCAAATAATTGTTGCTTAATGGAAACATTCTATTTAAATCTAACTAAAGAAGTTTGATCACATTAATTTCATTGGTTTTTAAATGTACATTTTTATGTCAATAAAGATTTTATTGAATTGGCCACAAATATTGTATAACTACATGTTTTAAATTCTATGGAATCCTGGAACATTCTTTGTTATATTTTATGCGAGTTCATTTCCATACTTAAACGCGAGTTCAATCATTTCAAAAGTGGATTGTGCGATAACATTTTATAAAAATAAAAATATAAATGTACACACTCTCGATTATCCGAGCCCCGGTTATCCGAGCCCCGGTTATCCGAGCCCCGGTTATCCGAGCCCCGGTTATCCGAGCCCTGGTTATCCGAATCCTGGTTATCCGAATCCTGGTTATCCGAACCTCTGTTATCCGAGGCCGTTATAGGCCTGATTATATAGGCACATTTTCAATTACGGTTGGAAAACAATAATTGCATTTGAACAGATATTTCTTTTAAAAATAAAGGGGAAATAGCAAGTAGATTATGATTTGATCAAATTAATACTTTGTTCATTCTTGCATTAATAATTATTACATTATTTTAACATATGAATGTACTTATATTCAGAACAGGAGTTGGTTTGAATATTTAGTGTGCATCTTTCCAATATGATGGCAAAACTATAATTGTTTAGGAATACATATAGGTAAACCTTCTCAAATACAATATCTGACAGTTTCAAAGCCAAAACGAATGCTTCGCAATTAAATGTCACCCGATCGTGTTAGTCCATATTTGATATCTAATGATGAAAGGAATTGCTTTACAGTATAGATCTATGAGGCATAGCCCTAAGGTAGGCCTGTAATTGAAAGTTACTTTTCACACAGGTTAAAAGTAGTTAAAACACTACCTCAACCTCACTACTGCACACTTTATTCGGGTTGAAATTTCTATTAACAATGGTGCTCTCGTCTTTTCCACGAAAAATAAGGACATTAATGCGTTACCAATAATAGACATACACACACAAATACAGAATTGAGTCCACACAACATTTTGGAGTCCAGACAGAAAACGCTAAAAATTATACAGTAAGACATCAATTAAATTTAATAAGCAATAAGGTGCAGTGTTTATAAATAAATAGTGAAAATAGTGATGTGTTTGTATGTAAAAATGATTCTTACTGCTACCAACGTTTACATTTGAGAAAATAACTGTAGTACTTACGACTAATTTAAACTGTCCTTCTAATCAAACTGTATTATAGGTGTTAATCTGTTTGCAAATATATAAATAAATACCCAGGCCACAAAACATGTAACATGTAACGTTAACAACGTAAAGCTTTGAAAAATCACTATGGTTTGCTAAAAAAAACGTTCACTTGATGTGGTGCAGTACCAAAGTTATTAATCTCCTTTGGTTTTAATTTTTTTTTTTTTTAGTTTTCGAAAATCAAAGTTATTTTCCATTAATAGCATTATTTGTAAGCAGCTTTTAATGTTAACATATTAATGACAGTTTGAAGAAACCGCCTTTATCCGAACAAAGGTTTCTTATTTAAAAGATTACGTAATCTCTAAACAATAATCGGTACATATATCTAGCAAACATTCGGAGGAAATGTGAAGAAAAACGCACAAATCTGGGGTTTTTACGTTTGTAGTTTTATTTCCTAAGTAGGAAAAGTACCGATATCGTTGTCGAAATTTAAGTAAGTAGAAACCAAAAGTGACACATTGGAAAAGCGAGTTTAGCTACATCTGTTAAGTTAAACCTCTGTTACGGTACGATCACAGCGAAATCAGAAAGATCTTCCAAGATCGCAGCAACATCCACGATCACCCACTGACTGCAGTTGTGATTTTTTACTTTGCACTTAACACAACTGTCCTTGAAGCGCCGTCAATGAGTGGAAACCTTTGTAAGCTACGGTATTGGTGAAGATGATTAAAAAAATGTAAGTTTCCTTGCACTAATACAACACTGATTCACAGTATTTTCCCCGGTTATCAAAACTCAAGAACAATCGTTGCACTTGCGATTAATTAAAGCTGATAAGTAAGGCACAACGTTAATCTCACTTGGTTTGGATGTGCTGACAAAACTTGATCGGAAATGGTTGCGGTATTTGTAAACAACTTTGAATGTAAACATATCAGTAACAGCTAGAAGTGAGAACTAATCCAAACAGCTGATCGTTATTTCATAAAATGTAATAGTAAACATTGGGAGACAATTTGAAAAAATCTATCAAAATTGGGTTTTTGGTGGTTTGTTATTTTGTTTTCAAAGAAGCGAGACCATGTTTTTATAGCCAAAGACACTCTCACCAATCCAGTAAATACAGAAAAATGATTAGAACCTTGATCGGTACTCTAGTTTTCTAGGAGTAGGCCGCGTAAAATGACATTTTGGCGTTACAGACGCAGTCACAGAATGGACAGACAAACAGACATACAGACAGAAATTGAGATAAGACTCGTTTCGGCTTTTTTAGGCTATGAAACGTAAAAATAACAAAAAAATGCATGATTCTAAGCAATGTACAGACAAAACTGTAATTTTATTTATATAGATATAGATTATAGTGTGTTGTCTTCGTGTAATTTTAATAATACTGTATTTAAAGTTGTTTTAACGATTTAAGAGTTGTTAATCATGATGTTTGAGTTATTGTTTTCCTTAATAAAACTTTGATACCTTATAAAAATAAAAATTTTTTTCATCCGCTATGTACTGTTCAAACTTATTGTGTTTTTCACAAGTATTTGATTTCCTAATATGGTACTGCAACCCCTAACCTCAAATTCTAAGAGACCTCCAAGTTATCCGTGATACTCGGTTCCAACAACCTCGGTTAATCGAGAGTGTACTGAATTTCTATACAATACGGTTCTAAATATTGAAATGAAAAAAAAAGTATCCTAAAACACAACGTCTGCATGCAATTCAGGAAAAATATTTGCTCTACGTGAAAAGCTTAAAATGTAACATGCACCACGGAGGTTTTTTGTCAGTTTAAGAAATTTTTATTCATATAGATCAAATAATGCTATGTTAGTTTTTACTATTTAGTACTTTTAATTCTTAATTTAATACTTTTTAGTATTTGTTAGTTTTTACTACAGTACATAAATGTCATTAATGTCGTTTGTGTATTAAACCATAGACAAAAAGAATGAAATATAGACCGTCAGCTGTGCTGCGGTTACCATAGGTTCTGGCGCACACCCCTTGGAGCACCCCGGTAGTTACGGCGTACGCGCTACGTAAACTACAGCGGTGTGCGCCGGAACCTATGGTAACCATGGCAACTACAGCACGGCTGACAGTCTATATTTCATTCTTTTTGTCTATGATTAAACATATTTAAAAATGACTTATTATTAAAAATAGCTGCTGATTGTGCTAAAAATTTAAAAAAAGAGTTTCAAAAGACGTCTTAAATACAGAAGCCAAGTAAGTAAAAAAAGCAGAACACATCATTTAAGAAGGTTGGATACTTATGTTAACCAAGATAATAAATATTTTTGTGTTTACCAAACATAACCTTCACAGAGTTTTAAAACAGATTCCTTAAAAAGTTAAAAGGTAGCAATGTAAAAATCTGCTGGATTAAGGCATTACTTTGGTCATAAATTAAACATGTATAGGCTTACATGTATTTATGGTCTGTTCACAAAATTCTGGCGGTTTGAGGGGAAGCAATTCTATCCCCTCCACCTTACCCTAAATTTGAAAATCAGACAACAACTAATCAGTTGTGGTATACATTAAGCTAAGAAGTTGTGGGGGAACTGAGGAAACCTTTCCCTCAAACCTCCAAAATTTTGTAAACAGACTATAGTCATAGTTGAAACATGAAACATAACCAAGCCACAACACAATTGGGACAAGCAGAAGATGCCTCCTCAGGGAAAACGATAAAACTTTGTGAGCGCACTGAGATTTGGTACTCAAGAAGTCATCGCCGACACCGACAGTGGTATATACTGTTTACTGCTGTGGCCACTGGTACCCTAGATGGTACTTGGCCTCCCCAACACACTGCCTCCATAGGTCTCTGCTTCTTGCATCTTCCATCCTTCTCCCTAGCTTCCTCAGGTCTTTCTCCACTTGGTCGAACCATCTAAGTTTCGGTCTTCCAAGGGGTCTTCTACCTTCTGGGTTATTCCTCAAGATGTTCTTTGTTAGGGAGTTGTCATCTTTTCTCAGAATATGCCCTGCCCATCTCAGTCTTCTGCTCCGTACCTCAGCGACAATATCTGGATCCTTAAATAATTCTCTTAGTTCCCAATTATGTCTCGATCTCCATTGTCCATCCTCAAAAATCGGTCCGTACACTTTCCTCAAAATCTTGTTCTCAAATACAATAGCTTTCGTTTCTGATTTCTTGCTTAAGATCCAATTTTCTGAACCATACAGGAGAACTGGTCTGATGATTGTCTTATAAATCCTGAGTTTGGTGGTGTAGGATATTATTTTTGAAGTTAGTATCTTGTGACAGGCCGAAAAACTTTTTTGTGCTAGGTTTAATCTATTTTGTATTTCTAGCTCTTCATCATTATCGCTAGTGAGGATGACTCCCAAATACTTGAAATATGTTACTATCTTAAATTTATACTCTTCAATTTCAATGTAGTTGTTATTTTGGTATCTTGGTTGGTCATCATCTTGTTTTCTTCCACATGTCATAAACTTGGTTTTCTCTTCATTTATGTATAGCCCCATTTTTCTTGTATGTTCAATAAGCATTTTTGTTACATCTTTCATTTCTTCTATATTATGTGTAATTAATACTATGTCATCTGCAAAAGCTAGCAAGTTTATGTTTGTTCCTATCTTAATCCCTACTTCTGTCTTTCTTATCTCCTGAAGGGCTGTTTCTATGGCTAAATTGAACAGCAATGGAGATACCCCGTCTCCCTGCCTCACACCCGTGTTCACCTCAAAGTCTTCCGATACGTCTCCATTTACTCTAACTTTGCACTTAGAACCTAAAACACTCAATTTTGCTAGTTCTATAAGTGTT